AACACGACTAATTGAAATTGTGTGTACGGCTGAAGAACACTGACAAAGTTAGTAGCTTTAACAAGTCAATAAAATTATATACATGGCATCTGTGACATCTGTGGGCATCTGTGACCACTAACATCACGAAATTTACACATGAAAAGAAGCGTATATTATTTATTATCAGTTGTGCCAAACGGGCATTTGTCCCAACAGATTGTATTTGGACTGCGATATTATTCGATTCCGGACAAAAGTTTCTTCACAACAGGAATTTAAACTATTGAAACTAGTAAGCAGCTGCTCCAATACGTGCATGAGATTTGTATTTCAATACACATTGGCCGGCGCTCTGTAACAGTTGGATGTAGGTGAGCGGCCGCTTGGTGAAAAAAATAAACGACCTTCGCCGCGATCGCAGCCAAACGGTGCACCCGCGCAAAGTAAACTCGCCGCAGAGATAACAGTCACTCGTTTGCCTTAACAAGCCTTCACGTTCTCGATAAGCGATTCGGGGCAAGGCATCCCTGAAACAATGGGCCGACGATACATCCAAGATTAAATATTGTCTCAGTTGCTGCACATGAATATCAAGAGAAATATGACGATTTTCTTCGTTTGATACGACGATACAATGTTACGCGAATATTTCGATTTAGTTTGGATGGCTATTGTTTATTAGTATCATTATGATTAAAAAGTATTGATTTTTTTATACTTATATTCGTGGAAATTAAACGCCCTTTGTTAGACGTATGACTTGTGTATGAGAATTTGTCGATTAGCGGATGTTGAATGCGAGTTTAGGATTTTATGACAGTAAGTCTTGTCCTTTATATCAAAATATTTGAGGTGTTTACAATAAGGTATGAACAAATAGTGTTCTCACACCAAAGCCCGTGTGTAGCCGTGACGGTACGAGAAAAGACTGAAAATTGTGATGACACGGCCATTTACTCATGACTTGCGCAAGGCGATGTTTGTTCCTTCATTAACGTGGAACACTTTATTCGACGAGAAATATTCACGCATTAACTCATCATCAGGGATTCGGCTGATCTCACCAACCGAAACAACTAAAGCAAGATAATTATGAATGGTATTTCCGTATAAATAAAAAATAAATACATATTTTTACACTACGTAATTAAGTCCCAAACTAAGCAGAGCTTATACTATAGATACTTGGTAACTGATAAACATACTTTTCTTTTGTAAATAAATACTTATACTACCCCGACACTAGAAAAGCACGATGCTCATCATACAATATTCTTCCAGTAGTGGGGATCGAAACCTCTGGCGCAAGAGATAAGTCCACTAATCACTACGCCAATCGGGTCGTCAAATATGTATGTAGGTTGAAAATATGTTTAAAACTACAGGATAAAAAAAAAAGATAAAAGCGTCCCGGAAAATAATAAAGCCTCGTATTCAAACATATTATCAGATCGTTGCACGCCTCTGGGATTATATTACATTACATTACATTACATTAGGTCATTAGCTTCCATTGTGACTTCATCGTTATCGACTTCCGTCTATGGTAAGCCGCGAAGCTCATTGATATAGAAATATTCGCTAACAACAGTTACGCGAGTTCCCTTAAATTGGATATTTTGATAACAATGTGAACAAATTTAATAGGATTAAAGTGGCGGTCGGTGTTTGTGCAAATTATTAATTAATACAATACTCCTCAACCACTATACCATACATCATAGCCGTGTTCGACAGTGCGAAGTAATTGGAACAGTTAAGAAACTAACAATATTTTAAATGAAACGAACTGATAAGTAAATCGAGCCTTTTATTTTTACTCATTTAAAAGCAGCTGCCATCCAATTACTCCCCATTTTATTGAAACAAATTATTTAATCACGTCAACTGTACGATTTAAACCTAACGCTTCTCACGACTCGGATGTTTGGAGCGGTGTGCCACGAATTCCTTCTCGCTCGATCCGCCGTCTAACTGTAAAAGAACTACGAAGAGCGTGTAGTGCGTGCTTTGGGTCAGTTGACGAGGAGAATGTCACAATTAGTTGTTATTCCAAACGATACACATGTTAACATTCGCCGCCTTTCGTGTCGTACAGACTTCGAGGCATTTTTATCCTACGTGAATTTTGTTTGTTACGATCAGAACTTAATTAATCGTCTAATCGAAATTAATTAATAACACTACAAATATAAATATAGAAAGAGACTTCACACTATAAAGATCACGATACAAGCTATTTAGTTCCCAATATAAATACTTAAAGAACTAAACCTCAAGATGTGTACAATACTAAGATACTTCTGTTATTGTTATGTTACTTGGGCCTTCATTTCTCTCCAAGATAACTTTAAGTGATTTGCTGTAATTTAAAACTAATAATCTTTAACTTTTGGAATAAACGAGTAACCAACGTATTCAATGCCGGTATTTCTTTTATTCTGTTGTCACTTCATTTGTGACCGCGATACTGCAAAATCTGATTTGAACGCTTCGAACCTTGGCTTTTTATGGCGTTACTCAAGACCGGCAAGGCCACCTTGACATCCGGTGATTTCTATTGCCGACACGATAGGTGGCGGAAGTCCTTGAAAATTTTTTGGACATTTACTTTAAAAAGTGCCTTTATTAACACACGCTTATGACTCGCTCCAGCGCTGGATGCTTGTTAACAGAAATTCCTACGATAACCTCAGCGCACGGAGATTTTAAACCGCAGGGATGCGAATGAAAATTACATATTAACATATTTAAAATAATATCGTCATTACGTAGTAATAAGATAGCCTTTATAACAAGATGTTGCTTAAGACATTTGTTGTGCCGTATTTTATTACGTAGATAAAAGATATTCTGTATATTATTAGTATTATTCCGTATTTTTGTGGGTTGGATGAATACATATGATTGTTGGAATCGGGAATAAGAGATATCAACATTGTGTCGCAACAGTGGGTTTTTAAAAAATAATGGTATGCGTTGTTCCATTTTCCGTTGTGTTGTTTGCTTGAGTTTTTTGGGGCAATGATATCAGAATGTAGAGAATTCTAAGCGGAGAATACAAATGGAATTTTTTAAATGAAAATATACTACACGATATGTTACTTAAAGTTGATGTAACCTTAATAAATTATTAAATTTTTTTACGGCTAATGGCTAAACAGTTGTCACAATATGTTTTGGACCGAAATGATCTCTGATAAAATAATATAAGTGTTCTGCCCCAGTAGGCTTAGAACTTTTTAAAGTAAAACTTCGATTCGTTACTTTTAGAAGATATGACGATATTGGGATCGATATTTCAAGGTTGCGTCACGCTTATGCACATTTCGATACAAAGATGTAACTTAAAAAGAAAGAGATATGTATGTACACTCAATACAAAGCGATAGAATAATATAGTGTGTTCTAGATGTACGCTTCAGACACTAAATATAATAATTTATCGTTGTTTTTTGTGATAAATAATCGCTAATATTAAAAAATTACAATTTTTTATCTGAGAAATTGGCAAACGAGCTTGCGTTTCACCTGATGTTAAGTGATAACTGCTGCCCACGGACTATTGCAACACCCGTAGGGTTACAAATGCTTTTAATATTATATACATTTAAATAATGTGGGCACCTGCTACCTCACTAACCAGACGAAACGCAGACGTGTTACACTTCTACTTTACGCCGGACTTCTGTGTGGTCGTGGTACTTACCCGGACGGACCTGCCCATTTGTGCAACAGTGAACACTGGCCGTGGCGTAACCCTAACTAAATAAATTATTTCTTTTAGGTTTTTTAAGAAGCTAAGATAGCTCTTAAGAAATATACATAAATAGGAACAGATATATTCAACTATTCACTGAATTCATTGAAAGTAATAACTGGCACAGTTTTGTAAACGTGTGTATTCTTATCTATTCTAAAGGTGAAAAATGCAAATGCAAATAAAGAAACAGTCCATTTCGTCATTGTGGCCTTTCTCTTACATTACCAGAATACTAACACCTACGTATCGTATGTATCGTATTGCACTTAATTTCTCGTAAAATTCGCTTTAACGACGTCTCTCTCTCTCATATCTCTTTACATAATACATAATCCACAAAATTCTATACATAAATAACTAGGTACTACTTTTTGCTAAGCGCATTGCCGGAACTTCAACAAACATTCTCATAAATGAACACAAATATAAGAGGTTAACTTTTTAAATTTGTATTAAACATTTACCGTTATAAAATTTTCCAAAACAAAGTATTTTAGAACAGCCTTACGTATAAAACTGTAATGTAAAGTTCATTCGTAAAGGTCCCAAAGCATATGAATGGGTTGAATGAATTTAAAAGAGACAAAACATACTGAAACGAATGAAAAAGTCTCTGAATGTATGAATCAGTCAGTTGTAGTCGTATAGGTGTTATAAATTTTGTTTCTTTTTTACTCAATTAGTTTGTTTGAAAATTTTTTTTATTATGGATTGTTTTGACGTTAATATTTTTTTATGATTATTGGGCACGTAGCGTTAGACGTGTGTTCATTTATTGTCGCGATTGTAAGGACACGCTGTATACTTAGCTTGTGACAGTACATCTGGGGAGGGTTTACTAGTTGTAAATTAAGATGGACCAGTCTCCGAAGGGTTTAGATTATCAAGAGTAATCGTCTAAGTTTAAAAATGATAGCTAACGCATGAAAATCACTAAAATGTGTCAAATAACGGTAGAAAACACGTTACATAAAATGTGTAACGTTATTTAACAATTTTTATTATTATGAATGAGTAAGTTGCAAGATTCTCTGCTCACTACTGATCTATGTACGTCTGTATGATACTTTTGCATTTCGTCCGGTGACTAAGATAACCGGCCCATTTTTATGTTTGGTAAAGCATCTGCAACCTGTCAGGAGATGTAAATGTCAATCACTAACAACATAAAAATGTTCGCGGCCAGTCAAAATGCCAATGAGTCTTTAAAAAAAAAAAACAACACTTTTCTAACGTCGTATCGTGTCTTCAACAGCTGTTGGGTCTCGCCATCATCGGAGTGGGCGTCGCCGTGCTGCTGAACTGGCAGGTGATCAAGGACGAACTGCAGGGCCACATGGCCGTGGCGCCGTGGTTCTTCATAGCTATCGGCGTCGTCACCTTCGTGATCGCTTTCTTCGGATGCTGCGGCTCCATTCGCGAGAGCCACTGCATGGTGGTCACTGTGAGTTTTTTTTTATTCAGTCTTTCAGTCAATTCAGTCTTGTTCTACGCTGTTATGAACGACAAAATTAACCATCGAATCAATCATAGACTAGTTTAAAAGATAACTAGTAGTTACATTTAAGATATTAGAAACGTTTAAAAACGGTTCATGTCTCGACACTTTTGTTATAAAGCATACTGTTCGGTTCAATATTGAACCAAACAGCTTTGTTTGTTTTTTACCGGTGTTAGGAATTAGCCCCAACATCGTTTTGGTCCTTCGAGCCGGATATGATGTTATAAATGATAATAGATACTGATCTGAAACACTTTATTACTAAATTGATACATATAAAATGATACTTATAATATGATATGATATTTATGATAGTTATGATATCTTGAGAACGCGTGGTTTGCTTGATGACCGAACGTGAACTAATTGATTCTAGCGGTATATTTTAATGCTTACACACCGTATTGATGGACTTTAGGTAAAAAGTGCAAACAAAGCTGTTTGGTTCAATATTGAACCGAACACATACTTTAATGTTTTTAATTGAAAGTTTTGAAAAAATTAGATGTTTAGTTTTCTTTTATATTCTGGAACATCCAAAAGACATTATTTGATGTATAACATAGGGTTATGAAATCTCATGGTCGATTAACATAAGTCAATATTTCCGCTGGCACGTCACGTGAACACTAACTTGTGTATTGCCATATTTTGAGTTTTCGACAATGAATACCTTGGCGACTGACAAGTGCTCAACGTGCTAAGTGGTCGCGAGGTGGTCATAAATATTTCAATTGTTCAAGCAAACAAAACCCGGGTCCGCTCTCCAAAGGCGAAAGTCTCGCGTTCCACTGACTCCCTTTCAAACAAGCCATTGTCACGTCTTGCTAGTTGCTAGCTTGTTGACTAGGGTCGATGTTAACGCTAAAAATGTGACCAATGTGCGTATGTCATTTTCGTCGCCTACTTGCGGCCGATTTCAATATTCTATGTACAGAAGTTTTAGCTGCCGGAGATAGAATATTGACGTTAATATTATGGAGCTAATCCTTACAAATATTATAAACGCGAAAGTTGGTATGTATGGATGGATGTCTGTTACCCTTTCACTCAAAAAGTACTGAACAGATTTTAATGAAACTTTACAATAATATAGCTTATACATCAGAATAACGCATAAGGTATAACTTATAAAGATATTATGTGAATTGTCCAAAATATAGGTAATGATAAGTGTCAACTAAGTAGGAAACTATTCATTTTATTGTCCATCACACATAAAAGGATACACAAAATTAACAATAGACAAACATTAATGGAATGCACAATTTGGCGGCCTTATTGCTTCATAGCGATCTCTTCCAGGTAACCAATGACGTAAAGGAACGTTTACTACGTAGGTGGTGCAATAGTAACATACATAATATACAACTAAATCAAATACATAATAAATACATACATACATGAACGCTGGAAAGGGTTCGAAACGTCGGGAGGTCAAAATCAAAATGAAAAAACGCGATAAAGTCCGTAAACTAGTTTCATTTAATATGTACAATATTGGCGTGCAGTCAAGAAAACATTTCCGTGTTTTTCCAGTACGCCATCTTCCTGCTGGTGATCATCATCCTGCAGGTGGTGCTGGCCGTGCTGATGTTCACTTACACCGACACCTTTAAGGAGTCCCTCGTCGGAACGGTGAACGGCATCTTCGACAAGATGTCCGTGGAGCCCTCCGCGAAGGTCGTCTTCAACAATATCGAGATGCAGGTTTGTGATGTCCGATAGATGGTCCTCCAGCTCTAAGAGTAAAGTTACAGCCTGTACGTGTCCCACTGCTGGGCAAAGTCCTCCTCTGTGCGGAGAGTATCAAGGAATAGTCCACCACGCGGATTAGCGCACTTCACATATCAATACGCAGGTTTCCTCACGATGTTTGCCTTCACCGCTGATCAAATGATAAGTCAGCGGTCATCGTTGTCAATAAACAATTTCCTTAGTGCCAACACCGGGGTTCTAACTCAGGTTGCTCGAATATATTGAATTAAAAGCGAGCGTCCGGACAATGAGTTACAACAGGTCTGTTTGGCCCTGGTACCGGTATTGATAAAAAGGTTGCAATCAACCTTTTTATCGATACCGGTACCAGGATCTGAAGTCTGTTTGCCCTAGTACATCATGACTTCATGACGCAATTTCCAAGGTATTAGCTTTCGCACCAACTAGCACCGGTGACCCACAGATAATTGTTTCAGATCTGGGTAAGTAAAGTAAAGTAACAGCCTTTACATGTCCCACTGCTGGGCAAAGGCCTCCTCTATAGAGAGGGTATCAGGGCATTGTCCACCACGCGGCCCCACTGCGGGTTGGCGGACTTCACATATCTTCGAAATATATTTTTTTTTTGTTATTATTTCGAAAATATGCAGGTTTCCTCACGATGTTTTCCTTCACCGCGGAGCACGTGATAAGTCGGCACTTAAAGTTAAAAACTTCATTGGTGCCGGCACCGGGGATCGAACTCAGGTTGCTCGAGTATATTGAATTAAAGGCGAGCACCCGGACACTGAGCTATCACGGCTCAGATCTGGGTGTCAACGTGAAATTTATGTATATAAAACTTCCTTAAAACACAGTATAATGTTGTCTGCAGTAAGGGCAATGTTTTAAAAGAAACATGTGTGTAAACAAAACCCAATTTCTCCCAAACGCGCCAAAAGAGTGTAACTTAAAAAAAAAAAAAAACCGAGCCCGACCACCGAGCAATCGGACTCGGTGCCAGCGAAGCTCTAGTACCCATACCTTCGCGTTTCGTCCGGTGAGTGCCGGAAGTGCCGGAGTAGCCGGAGCCCAATTATCAAAAGGTTGCCAACGCATCTGCAACCCTCGGGTGTAGCAGATGTCCATGGGCGGCGGTATTCACTGGACATCAGGTGAAACTCGCTTGTCGACTTTTCTCTCGCTCTGTCTCTTTCTATTCCCCCACCCCAGGAGCGTTGAGCGTTCAACGCAACAGTGCTTTCACACCCCCTCCGCGGTAGCGTTGAACGTTCAACGCAACCTTGTCGGGAGCATTGGAGGTTTCACTTCGAACAAAAAACACCACCAACGCCGCCCGCCGCCAGCTCGAGTGCTGCGGCAAACGGAGCCCCGGCGACTACGGCGTGCTCGGCATCGTGAACCTGCCCAAGTCGTGCTGCACCCGCGCCGCCGGCATAGTGGGCCAGACGTTCAACGCGTGCACCGTGGCGGACGCGAACGCCATCGGCTGCGCCCAGCGCACCGCCGACCTCTACGAGCGGTGGAGCAAGCCGATCGCCGGCGTCGCAATAGGCGTCGCCTGCGTCGAGGTGAGTGCCGATCCGGTAGCGTCTCCCCGTCGACAACGTTCCTGTTCTAGCTAGGCGACCTGATCGCATGTCCCCGATGTGGTCGTGCCCGCGTCGAGGTGCGTACCGTTCTGGTCGCGTCTCCCCGTCGACATCGTCGTTTCGCCCTGTTTTGGTCGTGCCCGCGTCGAGGTGCCGAATCGTCGTTTCGCCCTGTTTTAGCCGAACGATCGGATCGCATGTCTCCGATGTGATCGTACCCGCGTCGAGGTGCGTACCGTTCTGGTCGACATCGTAGTTTCGCCCCGTTTTAGTCGGACGATCTGATCGCATGTCCCCGATGTGATCGTGCCTCCGTCGAGCTGCGTACCGTTCTGGTCGCGTCTCCCCGTCGACATCGTCGTTTCGCCTTGTTTTAGCTGGATGATCTTATCAAATCACCTCATAGTGATCGTTATTTCGCCACGATTGTCCACTGCTAGAAACGCCTTCCCCAGAATTATTCAAAACACGGTATCGCAGTGTAGGACGACCCTCCACTAGAGGGAGTGACGACCTGGCCTGTCTCAGGAACGAACTTGGCGCCAATTGCATTTACTTTAATTCTGCTTTTTCTCGCATCTTCAAACGCCCCCTCCCCGCCTCCTTCTTCGTTCGTTATGTTCATTTCCCTTTATCTCCACCTATATCTTCACACTTGATTCAATCTTTCTAAATGTGGAAGGGCCACGCAACAGTTAAAGATGTTGCACGAATGGGTAGGCCCGTCCGGTTAAGTACCGTGACCTCGTAGAAGACCGGCGTGAAATAGAGAGTTATATTTCTGCGTTTCGACTGGTGAGTGAGGTAGCCAGCAACAGTGAGGTAGGCGTTGCAAATGTCAATTGGCGACGGTTATCGCATAACATCAGATGAACCGCCAGCTCGTTTGCCACCTCCTCAAAGACCAAATCGGTACTGAACGTACAGCGGAGATCAGCTTCAGTACCAAATGGTACGTGTACGCAGTGGACTATTGGACCCATGGTAATTTTATTCCAACTCGTGTAATCTCTGTTTCAGGTGGTCGGTGCCCTGTTCGCGCTGTGCCTCGCCAACTCCATAAGAAACATGGACAGAAGGTCACGCTACTAATATTTTGTACTTTACAACTGGTACCTATAAACACTTTTTGTTTATTTTTATTTACTTATTGGCTATCTGTGAGCGGGCTGTGTTCACTCTGCATGGCTGTATGGATTTTATTTCCTTTGTTTGTTCGATTCGAGTCGACTTGATTTTCTTTATCTAAATTCCTTTTGTTGGTAAACGTTAAAAATAAAGCTATCGATGCGGGTTTATCGGCTGAGAAACTTATACTTGATTATTGGATATTTAACTCTATTGCAATGTATTAAGAAACATTTTTCGGTATGTTATAACATGGTGAGTATTTTTAAGTACAGACGAGCAACAATACTTGTGATGCTTTTTATGTTTATTTGATTATAACATCATGCTAAACTGTTATTTTTGTTTCCTTCCTTTCTTTTTTATACAGCGTGTTGTTAGAACCGCGACATTAAATTAACACACTTCTAACGCTACTTGCCAATAATCATAAAAAAAAACAAACTTAAAAAGAAATCCATGATTAAAAAAAATTCTAAGAAATTGATAAAATAAAAAAGAAACAGAATTTGTAACATCCTATGCAACTACAACTGACTGATTCATACATTCAGAGACTTTTTCATTCGTTGCCACAGTCTCTCATTCTAACAGTATGTTTTATCTCTTTTAAATTCATTCAACCCATTCATATACTCTGTGACCTTTACAAATGAACTTTACGTCACAGTTTTATACGTAAGGGTGTTCTAAAATTGTTTGTTTTGGAAAATTTTATAACTCGGTAAATATTGATGTTTAAAGAATGTAAATGTTTAATACAATTTTAAAAAGTTATCCTCTATATGCGTGTCCATTTACTGTCGCGGTTGTGACGACACGTTGTATATTTGTATCACTGTTCAATTGTGAATTCATTTTCTTTATTAACGATCTCGATTGACATTCTTACATATTATTATGTACTCGTTCATTAAAATTATTTAATAAACTACCAAGTACAGTTGGTCGTCTGTTGATATTTAAGGCGTTATGTATTCGTGAATAATATGCTTAAACTGGGGTTATTGTAGCTTACTAACATTATGTATTTGGCGCCACCGTCGCAAGCACTGCGCATGTATTATCGATATTAAATCCTGACGGTGTATTTTTGTATATTACATGATATAGGCATGTATTTGCCTAATATTCGGCTAAGGATGATCACGTAAAAACATAGTATTTTTATGAATGTTATTGAAAATAAAATATAAAAAAAAAAACTTTAAATTTACTTGGGTCTACATAGAAAATGAAAAAATACAGTGTTTTTTTTTTCATATTACTACGGGCATTAAAGAAGTTAATGAAGTTAGTGTTTTATAATATTATAGTCTTCCTTTTGAAATATTCGTGTTTTTTTCATTCGTTCAAATTTTAAAGTTCTAACGCCCGGCTTTTGAAACACTGATCATCTGTCAAATGGCGATTAAAATGTTATTTATGTTGTCAAAAGGACGGTTAAACTTTGAATTGATCATTCTGATTAATTCAACAATTTAACCATCCTTTTGGCAACTTAAATAACATTTGAAAAGCCATTTGACAGCTGATTAGTTGGCTTCTACGGCGATCAGTGTTTCAGAAACCGGGCGTAAATCTCTAAGTAACTTAACAATGTCAGTCTACAAACTTCTAATGTGAATTGAATTATTCCTTCTTTAAATTAATGCGTAACAAAATAAATAACAAGTTTCTCTATTCGCCTGTTTATAATCTGTATGTTAAATTATCAGTTTTATTATCTGTATTTAATTACCAACGCATTTTATTACATTGTTGAAACATTCTGTCGACCGAAGTTTCATATGAGAGATACTTTGATATAATGTAAATTCTTAGAAAGCTGTACAATTTACAACCAGCATCAAAATATAAATATGGTCTGAGTAATACAAAGTATACAATAAACAATTAATGGCTTTTCGAGGTGTCATAAATAAACTGGAGCACAAGTATTCGATACAGACTACATCTGTGGCTTTCGATAACTATATATTTTTTGTATGACACGTTTTTGGTGTCTTTAAAACGTCGACTTTGTTTAGAGATCTTTACATAATATATACAACTTTATAATTGATTTATCAAAAATAAAGCCTAACTGTAATTCTGTAAGGTACGTAATATATAATTACGTTTTTGTGTAGTTATATTAAACCGTAATTTTGTAACATAATACTAATTGTGGAGCATTTGAAAATGTAAGCCTTGAATGATGAATGAATATAACTTTTTTCCGAATCAAGAATCTCATCTCGTTCGAAAGCGATATTAACAGCACAATAATGGTAAAGGTTTTAATCCGTAAATAAGTCTCGAATACTCCGCTGTACTTCACCACGTTTGATAAGATTTTGTACTATGTTTAATATAGTCGCTTATTGGCCATATTATGCAAACGACATCTTTTGAAAAGATTATAAAACTATCTTGAACATGTATTTGGTCAAATAATTCATATTGAAGTAAATGATAATGTAAAGCTAATCAACAGAGCCCAAAGGTTATAAAATGTTTAAATTAAAAATTGCTCGAATATATACTATCTCAATAAGAATACTTTTTTTTAAATATTTTTTAAGATACATGTTTAAAATATTGATAACTCTTTACTCTTCTCTATTTTATAAAACTTTTTTCTCGCTAACTTAACTTTACGATGTAATTATTACTAGTTAGACACTATTAGACTTCAGATCGAATTGCTAATTTAGAGATTATTAAATTACGATTATTGTTGCATTTGTGCCAAATTGCCAGGTCGGATGTTGAAGGCCATTCCGATAATTTTTATTGTATCACAAAAGTGAATGTTCGAAATGAAAGGATTTGTATAATGAATTGCTAATAGTGCCTTTAGCAGAGTTCGTATGTTTTCAAATAAAGAGTTTCATGTGACAATGGTCGTTTATTTATTTACTCTTATCGGCTGATTTATAATCTTGTATTCACTGTGAGTTTTAAACAACAAGACAAAATAATACAAATGTGTCAACAAACATAATTTCCATTTTTTGTTCAAGTCTATTTGATGACCTTCAGTTTTTATCTTAGTTTAGTTGCGAAATGGTAATTATTCGAATTAACCGTTTGAAAATCACGATGTTATCGCGATGGTTACGTTTATTGTTTAACCAAAAGTTTTGCTATAAGCTAGTCGACATATTTGACGTGGCTTATTTGATTACAGTATTTATTCATGGCCACGGATAAATATAGATTTGTGAACTTAAAAATATGACGGATTAACTGTATTGATTATTCAAATGAAAAAGTATGTTCTATTATGTTTAGCATTTTTTATTGCATTGTACAAGCATTGCTTAGTTTGGGATTAGAGAACGTTGTGTAAAAATGTGTCCGAAAATATTTCTTATATATACAATCACGCATTCCGCACAAGCGGTAAGTTGGTTTGTGTTCAATACTAATAGCATGTTTTGAAGTTAAAATATTGGTGTTTTAGCTATATAATAAACTTTGGGCAAAGATCTGCATGGTTCATCCGACCCGTAGCAAAAATTCAAAAATCCTTTCCGTTTTTAATGTACTAGCTAAAATTCGATGTAAAATAAAACCCATGTATATTAAGAGCCAACTTTCCTATTTAGTTTTGCACGACCTTGTTAACAATTTATATTTTGCCGCACCAGTGTTGCCAGTTCCCGGTTGGGTGGCGTTTTAACACTTCCCTACAACGGTACCAGACTACGGCGTACCAGCGGCGTACGGAGAAATAACAAAACATTGTCAATTGCAGGTACGCATAGGCATCACGGCGAGATTTCGAGCGAGGACGACCATCGAGTATGCGTGGATATTATGTACAAGTTATTAAATTAGGAATAGTCACACGGCGCCGGCCCACCTCATTGAAATTTTAAGTGATGTTCATCGAATACATTTAGCTCATGAAACTCTTAATTGAAACACCCTGTATCGACTAAGAGTTTACGAACACGCCCTTATTAATTTTGCAACGTTACCCATAGGTCGTGGTACAGACGAAAGTTTTTGTTATTTTTAATCTGTTACATTAAAAAGTAACGTAAGTCCATTTAAGAATGTTTGCGTTGGGGTAAATTCGATTGCAATGTGGGCAATCTCCACTAATGACACTACAGTTGATAACAATGCCTTTAAAAATTATTATTCGTTAAGTACCTTTCGAAAACAAGTTTAAGATTTTTTTTATTAATAAGCTGAACATAATGTTACTCGATGCAAATTTTACTTTTCCCTGGGTATACGTTTTAGGACTTTTAATGAAAAGACATATTTAACGAAATCAAACAAAATGTTTGACCGAGTTAGAAACGATAATTTCACCTGTGATAAGACGACTAGATTGCAACTCAGCATCACATTCGTTGAAATCTCATTCGATGTTACCCCAACTAACCGTCTTTTTATTTAGTTGACATTTTTGTTGTACGACTTTATAATTATATTGAGATAATTTTAAGTTAGTTAAGATACTTTCAAATGTTACGGTATAAATAAAGAAAAAAAGTTCTAAAAAAAGTATTTTCCTATTTCGACTTATACGTCCAGTTTATATTTATATTACTAAAGTGTTAATATTTCTATGCATTTCTATTTAATGTGATTTATCTAAATATGTCACTGATGTATATAGCTACTGATTCATCAGGAGCAAATGTACTATGAATCTCTTGTGCATTTCAAATAACAATAAATGTTTTACCTATGATTATTAAATAAATTTTCCACCAACTAAACTTTTTTAATATCTCCCACTGTGTTTAAATATGCTTCATTTAATTGTTATTATTCATAGAATTTCATAAATAGAATTTTAAACAAATGAACATTGAATGGCAATATTAATATTCGATTGAATTTAGCCTGAATCGTCGGTCTTGGAAGTTTTTTTATGGCAATTTTGTGTTAGGAACGGCGGTTTGTTCCACCATCATGAATTCTTTTATATATTTAAATTTGCCCCTTTTTAAATAAATAAGTCCAAAGCAAAACGAATGTTGTTTAAAATAATAGACAGTTCACTAGGTAATGAAAGGATTAGAATATTATATTTATTTGCGGATACATAAATGATAATGATGACTTTATGGTATATAACGTTCATTCAAATATGTCAGAAAATGTCTGCATCACCGTTTATCGGGAGACAAGAAGAGTTGAAAACCTTATCCATATCGTGAAAATTAGAAAGAGCCGGCGGTCACATGACGTTGCGTGAAAACCGCCGACCATTGGCATTTGCAACATGCGTTGGGTTGCAAATGCGTTGCCTACCTTATAACAAAGTGGGCTTCGGCTACCTCACTCACCAGATAAAACGCGGAAGTTTAACACATCCACTTGAGGTCGTGGTACTTTTCCGGACTTTCTCATTCGTGCATCAGAAAAGACTTGCGTTTAATACTCAGACGACAATAAACGTTCACATGTTCAAGTGAAATCCATTTCTGATGAACATTATATTTAACCTGTCCGCTATACCAAAAAATTAAACGGAAAATAACACAAACTTAAATGGTTTCAAAGACATTATAGGGGAAAAAGGGGTAATGGGAGTCAGTGGGTAATGGTGGTCACCCACATATATGCGTAAATGGCCTCCCTACTCCGCTATTTGCCCGTCACAATTGTCGCGAGCCGGCTGCCCCTGTATGGCAACGGCCATTTTTGATTTAATAAAAAGTCTTACTTGGCACCTGATCTTGGACGGCTGACTTTTTTCAGCCTTGAAAAAGAAAGGTATTTGGCCGACTTCATAAAGATGGCCAATATTTTTTATGGATTTATGTATATAATATACACAGCTAATGAAATTAGAAAAGTGGCATTTGAATATGCTGAAGACTTAAACTTAGAACACAATTTTAATCAATTTTCGAATATGGCTGGACGTGACTGATTGTTGTCTTTTACCTTGGAGAGAAGATCACGCCTTCCGAAGTAGCATCCCTATTGCGGAAGACATTTAATAACGTTTCAACTATTGGTAAAGGGGAATCGGGATTTAGGGCTATTGGTATTTACCCAATAAACCCGGACGTGTTTTCTGAAGAAGATTTCCTGCCAGCCGAATTGCTTTAATCGGAGACTACTGCCATACTACTGCCAACTATGATGAGTCAGATGCTATTGATGACCCAGCACCAGGTCAAGGAGTATCTTCAATAACTGGTACATCAATGCCTGTTGGTTCACTGCCGCCATCACCACCAACTTCTAGCGCAGTTTATTGTCTAGGCCCCGGCCCATCAGTCTGCGAGCTGGGATATGTTTGCGATTTGTGTTAGATTTTCGTTTGATTCTCATTGCCCACAAGGTGACCACAATTACCTTTACCTCGGTGCAATTGGAGTCAAAACTGTTTTTTTACTTTAACTCTTTTATTTGCCAAAGTTAATTATTAATGTGACGACCATTGATCTTAAATGATAAGCAAGTAAGTTGACTTTGTTATGAGGCGGTTGCAATAAAGATTCTGTTTCAAGCTTTTTTATTATATCAATTTTCGCTTAAGTGACCCCCTATTACCCCTTTTTACCCCTTTATCGCACTTTTCTCTAGTCCCAAACTAAGCAAAGCTTGTACTATGGGTACTAGAAAATGAATAGAAGTGTAACTTCTTACGTGCGACAAACGAACTGGCAGTTCACCTGATGTTAATTGATAATCGCCGCCCATGGTATTTTGCAACATCCGTAGGGTTGCAGATGCGTTGCCACCTTTTAATAAAGTGCTAAAAAAATAATGTCTTTTCACCATTCGATTTGATACACGAAGTTACGAACTTCGTGTATCAAATCCCTATACCTATACCTACATTAAAAACTTCAACTCTCTTTCTAGTCATTAGACTCGTAAATCATTTGAAAGCAGGATGGTTTTTGGTAAGATCTTTGTCGAGTTTTTTTGTGAAGTGTAGCGTAAAATAGTAGTATATGGCCCATGAACTTGGAGAGAAAAACAGAGCACCGTGGTCACTCGTTAGCCTGACAGTCGCAGCCTATGCACACGTGCTTAGGCTGCGATTGTCGTTCACCGGCGAACGCCGGTTAGTGTATGCTGAGTTAAGCACGGTGACGCTGTGTCAACCATTGACTGGTTCGAGAATCTATTTCCATTTGCCGCTTCCATGCGAGGCGACGCCTTTTCAGGCGGCATCGGAAGAATTAATTTATTTTTTACGCGTTAATTCTTCGTATGGTATAGATACCATAGGTTTTAACTACTGACGTGTAGGAGTTGTAGGGTTATTTATTGTATTAAAATGTTTTATCGATACGCCTTTAGAGAATAAATAAATAAATATTTAGGACACATTTTTACCATCCGATATATTATTCCCGATACCGCCAAAACTATCTAAAGGTACAAAGTTACTTAAAGCTTAAAGGTCTTGTTACCAGGCCATAAAATCTTTAAAAAAAATTACGTGTTCATTTTAATGTCATTTGTTTTCAGTTTTGACGGACTTCATTTGACACACATGACTACATTCATTTCATTCAATCGTTTTTTTTTTCAATTCTCTTCAGGCGATATGTCTAAACGTTTGTTGTCGCACGTACTTTCATGGTTTAATAAATTTAGTGTTTGAGTTTTTGAAGTGTCGAATTTAAGTTGTTTAAAAATTGTGATGTAAAATATTAATGATCTGCAAGCAAGCTTGTTGGTGTGCCCTATTTATAGTATTGTAGAATGAAGGGAATCTTACTAGAAATGGCTTCGAAAAATTGTTGCATTGTGTTGATGATTTTCACTCTAGCGATAGTCCAAGCTGTTGGTTACGACACTGAACTATTTGAAACGCCGCCTTGCGACAGTAACGCCTGCTTCGATGAACTCCACGGGGCCTTAGGCGACTGCTCTTGCAATGTTGATACAATTGATTATTTTAATAACGTGAAGATCTTTCCCCGCATACAAAGTTTAGTGAGTAAAGATTACTTTCGTTTCTACAAAGTGAATTTAAAAAAAGATTGCCCGTTCTGGGCGGACGACAGTAGGTGCGCTATGAAGTACTGCCATATTAAAACATGCTCGAAGGAAAGTGTTCCGGGCTATCCGAATGGATACGAAAATGAGGAGGAGCAAGAAGCTCCAGCTGTGAAATATTTAAAAGAAGCTCAGAGCGCATGCAGTAATGATGAGGATCACGACCCGGATTTGGGATATTTAAACATGACTATAAGTGCTGCTAGTCAGTATGAAATAGCAAAATGGAATGCCTATGATAGCGCCTTGGAGAATTTTTGTGAATGTGACGATCGAGATGCTGAAGCAGAGTATGTGGATCTGTCTTTAAACCCAGAGAGATACACAGGTTATAAAGGTCCTTCGGCTCACCGAATTTGGAGAAGTATTTACCAGGAAAATTGTTTTCGACCGAAACTTAACCCATATGAGTCTTTTCCGTATGTCTTGAGTTCAGACTTAAGTAACATGTGCCTGGAGAAGAGAGTATTTTATAGAGCTGTGTCGGGTTTGCATTCCAGTATTAATATTCATTTATGTTCTCATTATTTATTGTCTGAGAAGGGTGTTGGATTTGCTGCTCCACCTGATGGGGAGTGGGGACCGAATTTAGCAGAGTTCCAACGCCGTTTTGATCCATCACAGACACATGGAGAGGGCCCCAATTGGTTGAAAAATTTGTATTTTGTTTATTTGTTAGAAATGCGCGCCCTCGCTAAAGCTGGCCCATATTTGGAGAATGAAGAATATTTCACAGGCAACCCAACAGAGGATGAGGAGACACGGGACGCGATAAGCAATATGCTTAGCGTAATTTACACATTCCCTGATCATTTCAATGAGTCTTCCATGTTTAACGGTGGCAGCCAAGCAGCAAAGTTAAAGAATGAGTTTAGGGAACACTTCTTGAATATATCCAGAATAATGGATTGTGTTGGGTGTGATAAATGCAAGTTATGGGGAAAACTCCAGACACAGGGTCTAGGAACTGCATTAAAAATTCTATTTTCATCCCAATGGGACAATCTTGAAGGTGATCCGGAGCAAGGCAAACTGCCTGTGAGGCATAAAGAGAACAAGCGGTTACAAAGAACCGAAATAGTTGCATTGTTCAACGCGTTTGCGAGGCTTTCAAACAGTATCCGTCAACTGGAGAACTTCAGAATCATGCTCAGGTACATTTATTATTATTCAAATGTGTTAGAAAATTCTATTTCAAATTTACATAAATTTACATTTAAGTAAATTGCTGTGTACATTTTACAAATTCATTTGTCAACAATGATATATTGAATTGGATTAACAATAGATGACTAAATTTGAATCCCAGCCAAGTCTGACATAAATATAAGTACATCCTTGAATATATACTTTGCTGTTCTATATTGGGTTATTTATCAATGATATACAATTACCATCTAAATATTTTTGGCACTAGTTAAAGTGCAGGTGAAAAAGCAAAATTAATATAGCTCACCATTTTTTCCTTCACCGTTGAGCATGTGATAAGTCTGCACTTAAAATTAATAATTTCATTGGTGCCGGCACCGGGGATCAAACTCAGGTTGCTTGAGTATATTGAATTAAAGGCGAGCGCCCGGACACTGAGCTATTACAGCTGTATAGATCATGAAGCTATTGGTTAAATTTAATTATACAACTCATAATTATTATGTTCTTTAATTTTAGCAATAATATAATTTTTACTTAATTTGCTATTCCTATTTGAATTGCATGATGAGTTCTCTTACAAAACTAATGCTTTGCTTGTATATAACATTTGTGGTGGTTTTATCATATTGATGTTGTTCAACAGTTGTTTGTTTTCCATGTTTTGTGTTTAACATTGGGATTATAAGGGAAAGTAAGTAGGATATCGTAGATTTTATCACTTTCGCACTGGCCTTAAAGCAATATTGAACTCTACCGGGAATGTTCTTTTTAAATGGTTTTATTTAGCTACGGAATTTATTTGTTTATTTATTTGGGTCAAAATTAGAAATTGAAATTTAAGCACTTTCCCGTTGTCAGATTGATCTGAAATTTGGTACACACATTTAATTTAGATGACAATACAATATTGTAGTTTTCAGTGTACATAAAATAAAACCGTTTAACTTAAAAGTTTTTAAACGGTTTTTATTATATTAAAAATGGGTCACTATATATTTACCATTAAGGCCCATTTACATGGTGCCAGTTTCTTGCCTGTTGTATACAATTAAATTGAAGCAATAAATGAGTTACATGGTCTAAACAACAAATGGTCTAAACAATTATTGCGCGCAATTTATTGCATTCAATTATTGCTCTTGTATGTTCAAGAAAATGGCATTGTGTAAATGGGCCTTTACTTTCATTTGAATTATTCCTATAAGTGGCAGTTCAAATATTTGCCAACTGTTATGTCGATAATAAACCTCACAATTTAAATTGTTATATAATACGGTAATTCGATATTAAGTATCAGTTATTGTTACATGTCTCGTAAACATAAAGTAAATTTATAAATCAAATGTTAACAGATGCTTTTGTCATTTGATGGAAATATAGATTCTTATATGGCTTGATCTGCCTTCATTCCTTTTCTTTAATTTAGTTCTACTTTAGAATGTTTTTCTTTAGCTTGTTATTGATATTAATTCTACCAATATATCAAATAGATCTTTCAACTAGGTGTTTGCCCTGGTGGGATAAAACCATCTCACCGCTGCGTTTGACCGAGTCATTATTAATTTCAGCAGTGTGATTAGTGGTAGATGTTTTAGGTAGTCATTTGGTCATATAATACGAGATATGTCTGACGTAATAACTTTTGGTTCACCTCACTATGCGAAGTGAAAGTATCTCGTCTCATCACGCACGCCGCCAGGTCCGGTTGCTTAGTTATAACAAGTTGTCGCCCGCTTAATTTTGTCGATATTATAAATTTATACGATCAAATTATTGTTCGTCCTCGAGTCACTCAAATTTACACAAGTCTCGTAGGTTTCACAAAATTTCAACGTTTCTATAAATAGTGACGCAATTTGTATCCAATATGCGCTGGGGTGCATCTCTAAGATGAGAATATCTTTAGTAAGATTTATATAAATAGTAGCTAGTAATCACTAGCTATCGTTTAAAAGTACATTCATAAAAAATGATTTAATTTACACATGTATATAAACATTGTCCTTATCCATGATATTTTTTTAATTTTTAAATCTCCTTTAATAAAGTTCTGCCTGGAAGGAATCGCTATTTTAGCGATAAGGCCGCCCATTTTACAACCATTTTTGTAATCTTATTAAATATTTGTTCTTTTATTATGTTGTGTATAAAAAAGTGTATAAATAGAAAAATAGATATTAAATTTATACATTCTCCGCTTGATCGTATGACAACAAGCGTCACTGAGATCCCTGCTTTCCCGAGTTTATTTATTTCGAACGCAACACGCAGACGTACGTACGCAAGGCAATAAAACGGATAAAGAGTTGTTTCTAAAACTGGAAACCGCCCAAGTAGCGATCATGTAATACTAAAATAAACATTTCGCTATCTCCGTTAAGAAAGTTTGGCCAACTTTTTCGGTTTGTTTATTTATATATTTTTTGCTAAAACGGATAGCATTATCCGTTTTAGCCCAAAAAATATTTTATTCACTACTTATTCTAAAATTTTTACTCAAGTTAACGGCTGTTAAACACTTACATAAAGATAAAATTTGAGCTCGTTAGTAAAACGGTAGGAATCATTACGTTAATCTGATGCGTTCATCTTCTTTTAATTGATATTAAAGTCATATATAATCGATTGCCCGATTTCAATTAAATCGTATGCTAAGAGTATCGTATGCTAATGTTATAAATATTTTTCTTATAAAATAATACGACACATTATTTAATTATTATGCGAAATATCATTATGAGGTCATCACGTCCTCATAACAGAATTTATTTGATAAATTTAGGCACATTCAAGGGCGGATCCAGCTTTGGTGCCAGGGGGGGGGGGGGGGTCACGTAGTCGTGGTCAAGTTATAAGAAGTTATAATTTAATTTTTATAATCATAGATATAAGTAAAAAGTAGGTACTTATTTTTAACCGACTTCAAAAAGAAGGTTTTAAAAATTTCGAAAGGAGGATCAATTCGGATTTTTATATTTTTTTTATGTAGGTATGTTCGGGCATAGCTTCGTCATATATAGACGGATTTGCAAAATTATTTTTTGTTCGTAACATTTCGTTGGTTTTTATTATCATATATTATATAAGGTGGCTTTTATAAAGGTGCCCAAATTCACACAGGAGGTTCAGACTCGGCAGTATAATCGTTTATTGAAATAAAAAAAAAACTTTTTTTAAAATTGGCATTCTATTCACTAAAAACAACAACAAACTTGTTGACAATGCGGTAGTCATTCATAAATGCGTCGTATACTTTTATTATTTATATAATATTATTAATGTTTAGTATTTGATAAAAAAAATGTATACACTTAGAAAAGCCTCCTTACTTATTTTTGGAATTTATTTTATTTATTTTTTCGTTACCAGATTTTATGTAGTCGTATTGGTTATAATATTCTCTATTCCTCTACTCCGCACGCTGGCTCCACTTCAATGAAAAGTAGCCTAAGACGGGACTATCGGGACACGGGTTAATAATAATATATAATCAACCCAAATGAAAACTAAAATAGCCGTACACAAAATAAAATTACATCGTCCACATTAAAAAAATGTTCATAAATAACAAAAAAAAAAATTTATTCATTCATTCATTAATAATATTCAGCGCTTCTAATCCATCTAATCAAAGACAGAGTCCACGTCCAGAATCTACAAATTTAAGGATCCACATTCATAGAAAACTTTATTTCCCAAAGATGGTCTCGCATACCCACTGACGTCCACTAAACCACGACATCTCACCACCCATCAAAAACCCGCCCATTAAGACCATTCAAACTCGACGCAGTTGTGTTCTTTAATTACTGAATTCTTATGGCCACATTCCAGCTCTGTCATCAGACCCTGGTTACCATCTAGCACCAAAGAACTCGTCATGGCGAATCAAACGAGCCGAGACGCAATAGCGTTGCGTCATTTCTCTACTGAGTTCATACGACTATCTTCCACTTCCATCGTGAGATCAGACCCTGGTAACCATCTAAAAATTAAGTACTCGCCAAGACGAATCAAATGAGCCGAAACTCGATGGGGTTGAGTCGTTTCATTACAGAGTAGTCATAGGAACCTCACAGAATAGCCTCATAGACCTCACAGAAGATCGGCGTAAAGTACTTATGCGATTTGTCTGGTGAGTGAGGTAGCTGGAGCCCACTTTATTATAAGGAGAAAACACATCTGCAACCCTATGCATATGTCTATGGAATCCTGAAGATGGAGCTCCATCATCAGATCCTGGTTACCAATGAAAGACAAACTACTCGTCAATACGATTCAAATGTACCCAAACATTCGTTGTACATTTCGAAGTTCCTTTGGCCTTCCTTCCAGCTCCCTCATCAGATCAGCACCATGTCATAAAAATATTGCATTTTCTCGCGATTTACACATGTATAAAAATTTCAGCTCAACCGGTAACCGGGAAGTAGATCAAATTTAATTTGCAAGCTTTGATTTGATGATTTAACATTAAAATATTGTAAAAATGTTCATAAAATGAAAACTACTCGGCCAAACTATGGTAAATTTTTATGGGACCAAATGACAACTATTCTGCATCAAACTAAAGAAGAATCACGTAAATCGGATCATAAATCTCAACTTAATCAGTGTACAGACATCGAAAAAAACTACCAATAGAATTGAGAAACTCCTCCTTTTGAAGTCGGTTAAAATATTATATTAATTTAATGAAATATTGAAGGTACTTACATAAAATCTATATTGTGGCAAAAAATATATAAAAACATTATTTTAATTAGTGGTCCACCTAGGTCCTGGACTCAGCCCAGGGGATGATGGATGGATCCCCGCCATGGATCCGCCCTTGAGCACATTACACAATAAAAAATAAACTTACATAATAACTATACGCAAATATGTTTCTGGATGGTGAGCTACGCAAGGACATAAGATTTCTGTTGGTGCTGTATTTCCCCAACTTATCTATAGCCTGACAGTTAAATGTTACTGCGTCACATCTTAGTATCGTAGCGTTATTTAGCAAACGCATAGCAAACAGTAAGACATTGTTTTATTATGTAGATAAGTATAAGTTTAACTTAAAAGTGACTACTGCCCATGGAGATCTAAAACCACCGAGGTATTGTAGTTACAGTGGTTACCGGTGGTAGTGTTTTGACTATCAATAAGTGAGTGTAATGCTCCTATGTTGAATAAATACAATTGATTTTGATTTTGATTTTACACCACTCATAGTCCTATATTGGTATAAATACTTCTAAAACTATGCCGGTCTTCACGTAACACTGGAGAGAAATAAGTTCTCACATTCGTAGATCCCGATCGATATCCCAATAGACAGTGGTGGCAACTAATGCAGTACGTCCACCGATTTATTTAGTCCCAAACGGGCCTACACGCTGTATACTGGGCACAATGTTAGCGCTTCTAGGCTCCTAGAAAAAGCTATTGATATAATCTGCGGTCGGGCGGAAATCAGTGGTAGGGCCACGCATCAGTTCGGTGTTGCACTATGGGCAGATCCGTGCGTACTTCCTCGACCTTACAGAAGTCGGCGTGAAGTGGAAGTGTTATACTTTTGCGGTTCGTCTGCTGAGTGAGGTAATCGGGGCCGGGGCCCACTTTATTAAAAGGTTCATGGGCGGCGGTTATCGCTTAACATCAGGTGAACCGCCAGCTCGCTGGCCACCTTCTCACATAAAAAAAATCACTGCTCTATATAGGATAGGTCGATATACATTTATGTCGCAAAAACATGTTTCATAGGAGTCTTATTTCATTAGTCTTATTTAGTCTAAATTCCATTTGCCATGCAAAATACCCATGACAGTGAGAAAAATGCCAACGTGTTTGGAATGTATTGTTTTAGAATAAAACTCAACACTATAGGGCAGTGATTCTCAACCTTTTTTTTGTTGCGGCACATATTAAACGATTTCAAAATAAGGCGGCACACAAAGAAAAAGATAAAAATTATTTACTTACTACAACACACTGCATAAATAGTTTATGATAAAAATTTTAAATATACGAAATAGACTAATATATATTACAATAATAACTAAACGTTTATTAAGGGATTAATTACAAGCTAATAATAAAAATATTTTTAATGCAAAATTTGAGCTTGATGTTTTTTGATAATTTCATTTATATTTGGTCGTAAAAATGACAATGCTACTCTCATATCGTCTTCTACATTTAACAATCTTGATCTTTTTTTAGTTTTAATGTTGGCTAATGCCAAAAAATAGTTTTCTTTTTAAATGATATAATTTAATAATATTAACATTATTATATATTTGTAAAATTTGGCGGCACACTTTTGAAATTTGGCGGCACACAAAAGTGCCGCGGCACAGTGGTTGAGAATCACTGCTATAGGGCTTCGCAATGTTTGTTCAAGCGTTCTCGTCATTAAGTGCGTTATTTTTCACAATTCAGCTGTTGGTATTTATCCATGTCTTGTATCGTCTGTGTTTACAAAACGGTCCATGATAGATACGAGATTAGGATTAATTATTATTATTATTATTATATACTTTATTGTACACCACAAAGAATTTGATACAATTAGTATGAAATAAGTCTTAAAAGCTAGGTACAATAATTAATCTGTATGCTTCATGTAAATCTTTTCCTATAAATCAATCTTTGTTCTCTTTACTTTTTCATTTTGATAATAAAGTAAAGTAAAGTAACAGCCTATACATGTCCCACTGCTGGGCAAAGGCCTCCTCTATAACAAGGGTATCAGGACATAGTCCACCACGCGGCCCCACTGCGGATTGGCGGACTTCACTTATCTTCGAAAAATATTTTTTTTTTGTTATTATTTTCGAAATTATGCCAGGTTTCCTCACGATGTTTTCCTTCACCGCGGAAAAGTCAGCACTTAAAGTTAAAAAGTTCATTGGTGCCGGCACCGGGGATCGAACTCAGGTTGCTCGAGTATATTAAATTAAAGGCGAGCGCCCGGACACTGAGCTATCACGACTCTCTGAGCTATCACGGCTTTTGATAATCTGTTGTTGTAAGTATTCTTTTCGTTTTTAAATGGGTTTTTCCACGAAAATAAATAGACGTTTACTTAATTAAACATGTGTTTTTAGTCAGGAGTTAGATTATACTGTCAACTGAACTAAACACGTAAAGATAAAAATATTGTTAGTATTCATGGTCGTTGGGTAAACTTGCTTGTTTCGAGTTGCACATAGTTTTTTTTCCACCAAGTTCAGTGATTTGGTTTGAAGACATTCTTTTTCTTTCTCGTGCCCTTCTTCCACTTACGTAGGGTCGCCACAACATGTCAGTCATGTTGTTAACATTATTGGCTAGGTTTTTACGACCGACCTGCTGACGTCAACCCTGCTTGGGTACAAACAACCACACCGGGTCGCACTCACCGTAGTATGAACCTTATTTACGTGTTTAGTTTGATTATCAAAATTACGAAAAGCCTTAGTTGTTGCCTTGTATATAACTGTCCTTATTACTTACTAACACATACGGATAAGGAAAATATGTAACTTAAGCATTCTATAAAATACGGCTTATAACAATTTTAAAGTGTCGTTTAGTATTATTTAATGGTTTGAATAGAAACATTCTTTTTGATATCGTTTTCATTTGCAAGGCAGCAATTATTAATCTTATCAGTTCTTAATCGTTAACGCATTCGAGGTATAAAAATTGCGATATGGCGAAACTTTATTTTGCTGCTAGCTGCCCGTTAATAATGGACAAATTAGCACGTGCATCTCTATCAAGATGTTTTAGTCTGGCCTATGAAATCCTAGTCTTGCAGTTCTTGCTAGTTACTCTCATTAAAATAAATTGCTGAAGTATTGCAACGACCTAAATGTCTTATACGATTCCTACAGGGAAGTAATTTCTACGCATGCTACGTGTATTCCTTCAAGATATTAACAATCAGGCAGTTGCTAGACCGTAGGGGTACATCAGGGCTCTATTCTCGGACCTATTTTATTATTCTCGAGCTACACGTAAACTGTTTACGGATAGGCTGTATGGACTGGGTCGATTTCCATAATCGAGTCATTGATGTTACGTTTCCACGTCACGAGTTTATTTTCGTAATAGTTGTTAGTTGTCTAGCGGCTCGGTTTGTGTGACAGCGTACGTGTCCTAAACATATTGGCGGCTGCCTACACATCAAGCCTCACGTAGGTGGCCGGTGACTTGTGTGCCTGTGATTCAGACTTGTTTATCTGGACCGCGTCGCACATCGAACCTGCATAATGTTGACTCAAAACTGCGACGTATTTTTAAGGGTCGATTGACGTTGTTTTCAATTCACGATAATGTTCTGGATGCACGTACACAGACAATTAACGACGTCACGTCGTAATAGACGTGAGATATTTTTAGACGGCCCAGAGGTTAATTAAAAATAAATACGGTCTATGTAAATTTATCCCATGTAAGGACACAAGTTCCTTTTTTCCTTAATGTACATTGTCAGCGATACTGATAAGAAATAATTTGAATACAAAATTACCGACTAAGGCGTTAAGTGTTTGCCGATTTACGAAATAATTGCCTCCTTTATCAGTGTTATTTGATAAATGCGACAAATGGCTTGCCTGCAGTTTTATCGCGTCTGAATTTTATTGATTGTTTTTAAACAGACACATTAACTAGTCAGCAACACACATTTACGCTATCGGATTTTTTTCCGTCTACATTACTTGACGGAAAGCATAATGCATGTATTATCTTTATTCAGATTACTTATCTTTTGCATTAAAAAAAAACTTAGGGACGTGAAATTGCGTTATTGCCTGCACTGAATTGTAAATACTCAACACTTTTACGAAGATAAATAATCGATACTTAAATATTATGTAACTGGGGCAGGGCCTAGATTGTACGTACGCGCCATGCTTGGCATGTACGCTTATTATGGCATTACGCGGAAAGCGTACAACGAAAGGATTTAAGGTACACATACGCCAGATTTCCGAAACACTGATCATGGTAGATGTCAACTAATCAACTGTCAAATGGCTTTTCAAATTTCACTTTAGTTACCAAAAGGATGGTTGAACTCTCTGAATTGACCAGAATGATCTTCTTAATGATCAGAACGATCAATTCAAAGAGTTTAACCGTCCTTGGCAACTCCAATGACATTTGAAAATCCATTTGACAGCTGATTAGTTGACACCTACGATGATCAGTGTTACAGAAACCGGGCGTTAGACGAAAAATGAATCATTGAATTGTATTGAATTGAATCTAATGCACCGACCGGGCCAAATCCTGCTTCACCGTCACGTAGTTGCATCCGCACTCGCTTTGCACCGGGGCTCGCCTCGCAATACCGTACGATGATATTCAATTGTGTTGTTTCACGCAGTGCGAATAAAGAGCCGGACGGGGGGCGAAGCATGTATGTGGGTGCGCCAAATGCGAACAGAAAAACGGGCGGCAAGGAGCCGTGTTCATCGGGCGGCGACAAACCTCGGATTTGGAGTTAACGCACGACCCTGAGATGAAGAATTTATTAATTATCTGTCTTCTAGCTTTACCTATAGTTGATTTGCAAAGGCCGAACGCCAGAGTGAGAGCTAAACGCTTCCATTTGACCATCATGAGATTCACCATAGCGTGATGGTGGCCGCTGTTTGAAAAGTTACTTAATTAATTATAAAGTTGCGTCTTTTATTTGTCCTTGGATATCTTGTTTGTAATTTTAGAATATTAATCTTTTTCAGCCATGACTTTTCATTGTCACAAAGAGGCTGAATGCCTCCTCGTATTTGAGATTTTTTGAGATTACAGTGAAATAAAATAAAAAAAAAATGCTTTTTTAATTTAAGATTCAGATCATCACAAATTTTGTTTAGAACATTCCAGTGAAGAACTTAATATTTTTATCCAAGATGAAGCTGTATTTTGAGTATAAATCGTGTTTGCAAATACTTTTTGCTAAGCAAACGATCTAATCATTGTTACAATCATCATCAATATCATATGATATCAGATGATTCCATGTGTCATTTATTGTTATACATGCGTTATTCTTTTGCTTATTGCGGCTTTATCTTGAATTACTGTATAGACTAAGGTTAAACATTAGTGTTTAGAACTATTACATTGTATAAACTGCATACGGAGGTAGCTTTGTGATTGATTGTAAAGCGATTGACTGTTTTGACATAGCCAACACATCGGAAGTATTAGTTAGTTTGCTGATAAATTTTGTAATGTGATTTATTTATTTTAAATATAAATATCTGTTCGTTTCGCGACAACCACAATGTAAGGCGCAGTGCGTTTTCATACATATGTGCAGTATTTTACACTGATTATTTTTTTACCCTTCGCGCAATGACGTCATCATTGGATGTAATATATAAGTAGTCATTAAATCCCTATACATTGTGCAAAGGGCGATAGATTTCATCATTTGTATTATATTTTATGTTTGTACATATTTTTGTTATTTACAGATTATATACCTTTAAACTTTAGACTTTTTATTTATACACTTTTAATGCGACAAAGATTCGAATTTTAACATTGCAAATTTGGTACAAAGTAGGTGGTAAAGTTTTATTGTGTCATTTTTTCTTTTTTAATAAGATCGTACAAGTTAATAGTCCAATTTTATCATCTCAGAACTCGGAATCCATACAGAAATTGTGAATCGTATAGGTGAAGAATTAATTATTTAATAATAAATAATATCGATGATACTAAGTCATTATACAACCTTTTATATGTCAATAACTTGTCAATAACTCGTATCAGGTCACATAATACTGTTAATTCATTAAACTTGTTGCATTTTTGATTTTTCTCTATATAGTTTTTGATTAAATTTTAAAATATTCTATATGGCATTATTCTGATTGTTAACTAACCATTTATTTACCAAAATCTATTTTATATTTTCCTTTTATGAAATTGACAAGATTACTGTTATGTAGAAAACTTATCCTGTTCGTTGACAGTGTGTCGTCGTTAGTAGAATATATTTACTTGTACTAATTTTTGCTGTAGTTAATGCAATATACTTCAATAACCATTAAAATTTAGATTTAATTAGTATTATACATTTCAATATATACCAAGTAAATTTTATTAAATTTATATGGAAATCTGTGTCCAATTTCTTGTTAATTTTGATATTTTATCTCAAGCGTAACCGATATTAGCTTACGCCTGGCCAATAACGCTATTGTTGAGGCGAGTTTAAAAAAAAATCAATGTTGTTTGTTCATTTGGTTGGAAAAGCGATGACTGCACATTCTTCGGTCCGATTTGAGCATTTTAAAATCTACCTTTGTTTAATAATTAATTCTTCTGCATGCGATTGCGAAACTGGCTCCGAGTATTAGCCGTGCTAAGCCGATATCTAAACAAATTAGGAATTTCGTTTTGATTGGATCGTTTCATTTGAATGTGGTGTTATCGATACACGTGACTTATTAAATCGCCCTGTTAGATTATAAACGGTTATAAATTTTAATTATTTGCTTGTTAGTGTTTTCATTATCCCCTTCTGCTTACGTTGCATTGGAATTTTCCAGCTTGATTAGTTTTCGAGTAGTTTTATGTTTTAAAGTATTTAAATTCGACATGTTTGTAAAATTTCTGCACAGCAAGCAATGTAGTATATGTTGTCTGTGATTTCTTTAATTTGAATTTATCATGACATAACTTACCTATTTATAAATTTTAATAAATTTTTTTTTGTTTATCCAACGTGTTTTATTTCTGTCTGTCCCGTCTTTGTGGTTTAGGTGATATTAACCCCCACTATTTGTAAATTACCAATGTTAACTACCTGTTCTATTAAAAGAATTATGTATTAGACAATAATGTGTAATGTAAATATTTTTCAGGTCTAACCAACATGAAAGGCAGCATTTTGTGATGTGTTCAGCCGTAAGAAGTTAACTTACGAAAAGTGTATTATCAGGCACGAAGAATAGTCAAAAATGACATAAAAACGTCAATTACTTCCTCGGAATACCAGTGATTCGTATAAAGCAATAAAATTAGAAATCTCAAGTGTATTATTAACGTTTATAGCTTATAATTATCTAAATTTATGTAGTGGTTATTTAAAATTGCATATTTGTCTTAGTGGGAAAACCTACATTATATATAGATACGTTTTCGTAAAGCTTTAAAATAATAGCGACAAAATTGATTAAGATAATTATATTATTGACAGTACATCACTTTTGCAGTCTGTTATAGTTTATAGTAATAAAGCATCTATTTTATCTAGACCTGATTTTACTAAGCTTTAATTCACATTTGCTTTTAAGCTATTGCATAGCTTTTATCGCGGGCTTTGAGCGCGGCGACCGAATCAAGAAACTCCGTAACGAAAATAAAACCTAACACATGTCCCGCGTATCAACCTATATTTAACAGACTGTAAATATACGATGATACGCGGGACATTGACATTAATAAACTAAAATGACATTACGAAATAAAATACTAGATTGTGTTACGTACATTTTTTGTTTAAAAAATACGGAACTTCATATACGAGATACATTTTTTGTATGTCAACGTTAATGTTCCGCGTATCAACCTATATTTAACAGACTGTATATGCCTGTATGCTCCATGGTTGCCATGTTTTCAATATGTGGAGAATGAATCCTTCTAAATGTTTGCTGTGCCAATAAAATCGCAGAACTTAAAACGCATACCATATAGGTAGTATATTATATGATTGTGGTTAATCTTATTTCTTGATGGCAATAGGTATTAAAACCAAGCGGTCTTTGATGTTATCTCTAACAGAGAATATCAATAATATGATTCAAATAATAATACATCAGGAGAGCATAGCCATCAAAGGGAATTCTACATCAAGGGGAAAAATAAATGTATATATACAATTAACAATAGTTAATAATAGTGAATTTTATAGTTAAATTTATTTTTCACATATTTGCTACGTCGATCGTCGGAGACGTTAGCTGCATCAGTCGAAATGCCGCAGTGTGGTAGTAAAGTATAAGTGATAGTGTTTGTCACTTGAAATATTAATTTAACATTTTACTTTTTTGAAGTGATATGTATATTTATTGTTATAATCGGTCAGTATTTTCATTTAAAAACAAAAGCTTAATTTTGGTAGGTATACTAGATGTCATTTTTAATTTTGCCATGTTTTTAACGAGGTGTCGCTATTATTGCAAGTTCAGACAGAACAGTATCAGAGGCGAGTACGGTAGGGTTTTGTTGGTAGTTACGGTTAGGTTTTGTTGATAGTTCATTTTTGGCGTTGTAATTTTTACACATCATATATGTAACACAGTGTCAGGGTGAGTGAAATGAAACAAAATCATATATTTGGGAACGGAATCGTTTATTAAACCCATCTGTAATAGTAGATAATTAAATTATACTGTTACTCTACACATTTTGTACTGATCAAAGTACCTACCTAACTCAAGTATTTCTATTACTTATGTAAGAATGTACTAACAAATGCACCCAATACCAAGGATTACGCTTAATACGCAATTTACTTTTCACATCACATTTCTTCTATACTTTTGTTTCAAATTGTGCTTCAAAATTCAGTGGTAGTTACCAATCACAGTACCGTCTGGATCCTACGATTACAACGAGATAATTGCTTAATTAGATACGAGGTACTATTTTTTATGATGAACAATAATATGCCAATGTCTTAAAATGGTTAATGCATCACAATAAAATGCCTAACATACAGGAATGAACGATTAGTTCTTAGGAACAATTATGATGGATACAAATGAGAGATATCTTACATATTGAATTGAAAAATAGTCACGTTCTGTTTCTCGTATTATTTCCTATATCACCTAATGTTTTATAATATACGTTCGGATATACACATAAGATATGAAATTTTTACAAAAAGAAGTAATGGATAACTACGCTCAGATCAAAGGAATATAAAAGCTTATACCAGATATCTATATACTAAATTATTTATTTATATCCATGGCGTGTATCCGAACGCAACCGGACGTCCTTATATTGTTCCAATAAAATACATTGCAGTTACGTTGTCTATAAATACTAATATGTTCATATTTCAGATATCGATCGATTCGCCGTTTTGTTTATATTCATTAATAATAGGTAAAAATCTTCCTTTATTGTCCTCATTATTACCATAAACAAAGCTGGATACAAAGAAATCGTTTTCAAGTCTATCGTAAAAGTAAAAAAAAAAAACAGTGTCGCATCGTAACAAGTGGTGGCAATATTGTTTGTGTAAAATCGCTTTGGTTCCGCCATAAGAATCTATACATGTTGCAATAATAGAAGCCACAAATACAATCTCTCCACGAGGTTCATAACCGTATTCAATGGAATTACAATGTATAGACACAAAATAGGTATATGAAATTATCTCGGCACAGATAACATTAAAAAAAGTTAAAGGAAAGTATTAAGAATAGTACAAGATCAAGTATTTTATTTTAAATTTAGATATAAAATAAGTAGATCCATTGTAGATCATTAGTAATTAAAAGAAACATTCCTCTTCTAATTTTAGAAAATAAGAAATGTTAAAGAAAATAGTGCTATGAGGTAAACATTAAACTTATGTTTATGCCAGTTGCACCGAGATAAACGTAACTAGAAATAATACAAGATCATGATATGTACCTAAGTATACACAAATGGTCGACAAATCGCAAATGACACAAATCAATAAATAGCATTCAGTGACGTCATTACAACATATATATATACATATATATTTATACACACCTATCATACTTTAGTACCCTTCGATTTAATGGATTCTATAAGATTATCGATTGTATAGATTATGACTATCCTTTATATCTATAAGGTGTTATCCTTTATAACTAGCTGGATACGTAAATGTCAATATTTACATAATACCTAACCTTACAATCGCTTGCGGCCGCGCGGATATCGATTTCGATTTTCCGATTCACATGAAGCGGTCGGGACGCCGCGCGGCCCGTATCCAAAACCAAACACGTTCCACTCTAGGACCATCAACGCTCCATTCGGCTAGAAAGGAATCCATTTAAATGTATACGAAAATAAGTGGGACTTACAGTATATACAAAAATATCACATTACTTCGAGGCCGCAGCTTTCAATCACTTAGTCATTACTTATCTCGTCTTCTAACCTAAAAATGATTATTGGTTCGAAGCGTAAGCTTAGACGCGGGAAGTGGTCGACGGTGGCTTGGCATTGAGGGGCGGTTCGAATTAGGCATGAGCTCGAGCGCATGGGCTGTCAAGCGCGAAACGCCACAGTTTCGGGGGGACTCAACTCAAAATAAATTCGAACGTTTCCACGACCTGATACAACGTAAAACTGTTCGACCCCCCCAAAACAAGTCAAACCTATCCGGAGATTGCGGCGAGAGGGGCCAAACACCGGGACGCGCGAATCGAACAACGAGGCTACACCGGTTGATCAGCAAAAGGGGCCTGCAGGCTGCACTGGCTGGAGAGGGAGTGGGCTATTCGGCCATCACGCCAGCTAGGGTTCGGGGCGGGCTGTGTCCCTGGCGTCGGGCGACGCGCCGCCCGGCAGCTGGTCGAGGAAATCGAAGGTGGCGACGGCGGCCCGCTCCCGGTCGCCGTAACGCACGAAGAAGCCGTCACGGCCGAGGATGGTGGGACGGCGCGCGCGCGGCAGCCGCAGCACGGCCAGCCCGCGGCTGCGCAGCGCCGCCGCTGCAGCAACAGGGCCCACGTTACGGCGGCTGCGAGCGGGCGCCCCCTGCGCGTGAGGGGGGCGCCCCCTGGGCGTGAGGGGGGCGCCCCCAGCGCGTGAGGGGAGCGCCCCCTGCGCGTGAGGGTGGCGCCCCCTGCGCGTGAGGGGGGCGCCCCCTGCGCGTGAGGGGGGCGCGCGTGAGCCGGTCGCCACCCGCTCGCACCCGCGCGCCACCGACGCCCCGCACCGAAACGGGACCGGCCGCCAGCCGCCCTCGGCCCGTTCGGCCACCCGTCATCCCGCGCGTCGGCATATTCATTGCATTACATACCGGGTCGCGACATTAGCCGGGCATTTTGCGACGCGTGTCGCGACACGGTACGGAGTCTGCACCACGAATCGAGGACTGCAATCCCGTCACGAAAGGGCACGGCTTAATAGCTTAACAAGACGGGTCACGTGCGCTCGAGGCTTATTGACCGTGAAAGGCCAGAATTTGTATCTCGTCCCTGTTAGGTCTCCAGTTTCGTGATATTCGTGAAGTTCTCTCTTACGCTTATGCGATGGAAGTTCATTTACTAGGTAAGTAGGGATTTAAAAGCCGGTAGCGGAGTTTAATTTTTGTTTTAGACCGGAACCGAACGCTAGGCGTGACTCATCGTCCTTATGTCGAGATAGCGAACATTTCTTTAATAGTTTTAGAAATGTTCCACTAATGTAAAGCTGGCGGCCTTTTATATATTCATCAATATTTTTCGTCGGAGCGTCGTACGATAACTACGCGAAATGAGGCGACAGTGAGATGGTGCGTGTGAGTGAGAGCGGAAACGAGGCGTGGCTTAACATGTGACAAGATAACACACAGAGACAGACAATACATTAAATTAAAGAAATTGGCTAAGACACGTTTAGTACAGACAAAGGTTTCTAATTATAAAGGATATAATATACTATAATAATATATCTGTATGCAGCATGACATAATATCATGGGGCGTACAGATGTAGATACATCATATTAGACAGAAAAATATTTTGTAAAGCTTACTTCAATAAACATTAAACACCGAAATCATTACTTAAATAATATTCTACAAAAGCACAATAGTGTTAAAATAATGTACACACGATGTAAATCTTACGTCTAAAATACTGATCAACCATTTAATTGACACTTATTCGAAGACCCCTTAACAAACACGATTATAACCCTATGAACATAATAAAATGGATCAATTTTGTAAGTTGCATAAATGCCGGTAGTTTGACAGTTATTCGAAAACTATTATATCATTATTTACTTTGACAGCTGTCAAAAAACCCGCCAATTCTCTGAACGAATGTCATTTACCGACATTTTTTGTTTGAGAAACAAATAACCATTTTTTTACTAATGAAAAACAAAACCGACTTCAAATATCTGGCTCTGTATTCATTTTACAATTGATTTTCACGATTTCCCTAATTACCTCCGGAGGCCAATATCCAATACCAATGAAATTAATATGGGACCACATGGGAAGCACCAGCATTCGAATAAAAATCGGTTCACTCGGACAAAAGTTACGAGGAAATGTTTTTTTTTTATATTTGTTAATATAAAAAAATACATTCGAATTGAGAACCTCGTCCTTTTGAAGTCGGTTAAAAAAGAATGAGGACAGTCGCTCGTAGGGCCTTGGAACGAGCACAGCACCGGTGTGGCGGGCGTGTCGATGCATGGGATGCGGGTAGCGCGGTGCGGTGGATTGGTTGCGTCTAAGGTTTACCGGTTTTCTGCCGCCTGGTGCGGTGCAAGCGATGCAGGCGGGAGTAGGGCGCCGGCGGCTCCGCGGGCGAGGAGCCGCACGAGGAGGGCGAGGAGTCGCTGGACGCCAGCATGACGTCCAGCAGGTTGGCGCGCGCCTGGGGGGCGGACGGAAAGCGCTCGTTAGCTTTGCACACATTCTGTTCCATGCGTAAACCAAAAGCACCGCATTCCCCCCGACACAACGATGGGGTTTTGAACGCCGATGAGCCAATAATAGTTGGATAAGAAATGACATTTAAGGATTTCAAAACTGAAACTTGATTGGATCTCGAACATTAAACATACAGCCGTTGAGCCAATAATAGTCGAAAAAGGATTACATTTAACGATTTCAAACCGAACATTCCACGGAACTTAAAACAAATGAATGTTCTATGAGCATACAACATGCACAAAAACAGTCTCAACTATGAATGATCGTACAATAAAATACTCGTAAAATGATACAACGAAAGAGTCAATGGTATAACTGTGCAACCTATCGTTTTAGTATTGAGACAAGATCGAGCACTTTCGCTAACCATAGACAACTGTGAGTTTTTTTTTAAAACTGAAACTACAAGTGAAAACATTCAAACAACCTTAGGGTCACTGAAGTCTATGTCCTTCTCGACGTGGACCCATCCCGTTGGTGCCCAAAGTGCCCGATCCCTGTTAGTGCAAGTCTTCTCCACTCTGTCTTCGTTCTTGGGCTCTGCCGTCGCCGTCGGTCCTTCGCTTTGGCGAATCATTCTGTGGAAGGAAAATTTCGTTATTATAACTTTCATGACAGAATATAATGATAATTTGAAGATGTTGATGATGTTTATGAGACGAAACTCCCTATGGACGGAAACAATTATGTACGTCACCTAGCATTTCTGCTACTCCTGGCTTAGGTGATGACAGTAATCCGATGGCCACATAACGACTGCTAGAATAGGCTGGATACGAAAAGCGAGGACAGCATATGGCGGAAGGCGTTGGCGGAGGCCTATATCCAGCACCGAATTGATACAGGCTGATGATGATGTATATAAATTAAGAATCTTAATTTTTGGATTTAAACTGCTGTGGATACAACATCCATACCGAAAATGTTAGCTTTGCTTCTGTAATTATTTATCTTTACCAAATCTCCGCGTAGGTGATGTACCAAATTTTTTTATGTCACAAATAAATGTATGAAGTAACACAACTTACCTGTTCAGCTCGTCAATGACGTCCTTCGACGTGGCAGCCTCGTGGAAGCTCAGCGTGTGTTCTTGCTTCACAATTATCGGCTCGGGGGTTGGAGCAGACAGCGCGGAGACCGGTCTACACCTCCCCGCGACCGGGATTTTCGACCTGGCGCGGTTTGGGGAGGACGGTGGTCTTTTACCGCCCATTAGGGTCGGTATGCGACTCCTCTCTAGCCTAGTCCTAACGTCTCTCTGCGTCCCATCGCTCTTATTGCTTACTATCACAGTTTCCGCGGTCGACGTACTGGTAGTGTTCGACTCCGTCATCTGAGGCGAGTTCGCTTCGGGCGACGAGCCCTCCTCCTCTTCGGGCACCGGCACCAACACGCCCGTGCTCCTCCTGCAAGCGCTCAGCACCTCCTCCACCAGCGATATCTCCGTCTCGCCAGTAGTAAACGGGAAGCTCGGCGATTTCGTCACACCCGGTTCCGCGTCGACCCTCTCACAAAGCGCGGGCTGCTTGTTCAGCATTATGTTGACCGTGTTCTCCTTCAGCGCCGTGTTGTGATCCGCACTCCGCGTGGGCTCGTCGCTAGGCCGATCGTCTTTGAGCGGCGGCGGATGAACAAGGTCGGGCGCGAGGCCGGTGTCGATGCATTTGTTTATCTCGTTCTTCATCTGCACCTTGAGCAGGTGGCGCTCGTCCGCTTCGTTCTCCGCGTTTTCAGCGCCCAGTTGCGAAAACGGCTCGTAGTAGTCCTCGGATTCGGCGTACGGCCGCTCGCGCTCTATGAAGCGCGGGGTGCACAGCGGCTCGGAGACGTCGGCCGGGAACGCCGCTTTGACCATCCCACCGGGGATGTCCGCTGAGTCGTTCTCGGAGAAGCTGCCGAACGAGTCGGGCCGCTGCCTGTCCTCGGACAGCTCGCTGCGCGGCCCCACCGAGTCGTCGTCGTAGTCGGCCGCGGCGTACGGTGGCGGCAGCTCGCGTATCTCGGACACGGGCCGCGACGACGCCGAGTCGGACTCCTCGCGGTCGCGGCAGTACTTCTGCTGCTCGGCGATGAAGTGCAGCACGTTCTGCAGCGCCTGCTCGCGGTCCTGCAGCGCCATCGCCTGCACGTCGTGTATCCGCAGGTGGCCGCTCGGGTCCTGCGACGGTATGCCGCGGGAGGAGTTCGACGCGAGGCTCTTGGTGCTCTCGTATTTGACGAGGCGGTAGAAGTCCCTGGTGAAGTCCAGGCCGACGTTGGCGCAGTCGCCGTCTTCGCTCAGCGCTGTGCTGGAGCGCTTCTCGGGCGCGTCGGAAGCGCTGGACCACGATCCACCGGGCGAATGGGTGCCGGAGCACTCCCACCGCTTCTCGGCGCTTTCGGCTTCATCGTTCATTTTGCACTCGTCGATTTCGACTGTTGCAAATCCGCAGTCGTTCCAGAGGCAGTCGCCGACGTCCTCCTCCAGTTCTAAGGCGTCATCCTCCCTAATACTCGGCAAGGTGGAGAGTGATATTTGGCCCGGTGTCGTGATCTCTGTAAAAGGGGACTGCCTGTCTCTGAGATCCTCGCAGGACAACGATAAGCTCCAGTCTTCCAGTTCAGCCCTGTCGTACTCCAAGTCGGCTAAGTCCCGATGCCTTTGTTGGAGCGCCGACCTGGCGTCGTCGAGTTCGAGCCAGTGTTGGACGTAATCCGCGTCATACTGCGAGCCGTCGGCCCGCTCGTCGACCGTGCTGCCCCACGAGACCCTTTCTGAACTCGTGGTGGAGGCTATCGCGGGTCTCCTTAACGGCCTCTCCGGCGCGGGCTTGAGGTCTAGCACTAGGACTCCCGAGCTCGGCGTCGGGCTGTCGAGGCAGCTGGTGGGGCAGGTGGTGCCCGCTATTACTTTCAAGCAGAGGTGCGAATCGGAGAAGCTCCTCACGACGTGCTGGAAGGGGAGGACGGGCCGTGAGGGGGGGTAGCTGCCTCTGAGGCCGGCGAACGCAATGCCTATCGGGAAGTATATGTAGTCCGCGTCCGCCAGCAGCCGCCCGTGCCTTCGGGACTCGCGGGGATTGATGGAGACTATCGTCTGGTTGTCGGTTTCGTCGGACGCCTCGTTGAGGTCCGGCAGCGCGCGGTCCGCCGCGTGGTCGCTCTGTCGCGACGCGTCCGCCTGCACGTCGCTGGACATGGTGGAGTAGCCCTCGTCTTTGGCACCGCTCTCCGGCGACTCCGCGCCCCCCTCGCCCCCCTCGCCCGCCTCGCCGCCTTCCTCCTCCGTCGCCTTCTCCGCGCCGGCACCTGTATTTAAAGAGCGGTTCACAGTTAAATGGAAGATTTCCCTTCATCTTCCTTTCATAAAACAAAAGAAGTATATGTAAGCAGTATTTGATGTTACGTTTAGTGATAATTATTGGGTAATATTCTTCTTTTGTTGTAGGATGTTTTTAGTATTTTATTAAACATGCACATGTTTATTTTATTAACAATAATATAGTTCGTAAAAATCAACGTTTTAATTTTTCTATTACTTTATTTGTACGGACTAATCTTCTCTGTACCTTGTCAAAGATTGTCGCCGCTGTGGGAATCGAATCCAAGTCTACGGCATTCGCGGCCTGACGTTCTAGCCACTGAGCTAAACGGCTGATAGCCACAGCGACGAAAATCTTAACGCCTTCTTTCTACATTGTTATTTTAGCATTAGAACTTTTTCTACATGTTTTGATGTATGTAAACAATTCGTACTTTTTCTACATGTTTTAATGTTCAATTTTAAGTGCAGAGATTAGCACTATAAAAAACTTTTAAATTTACAATAAGATATGTTTGAAATATCATGTAAACTGTTTGTGATATTTGTAATAGGCCATAAATAATTTTATACAAAAATAATAGTAGTCCTTATTTTTGTATAAAATTATTAATAGATAAATCTTTATGTCAAGTTTTATGTGATACAAATGGTATAATTAACCGATTAATCGACTCACCTTTGACGGAATCCGTGCAAGGCTGCGGCATGTTGAGGCTCAGAGTCGCTGGTCGAGTCGGCGGGGCCCAAAGAGTGGGGTCAACAGCGGAGAGGGCTCTCGCTAGGTTTGCAGGGGTCACCTCTAGCCCCTGGAATGGGAAGGAAAACGGCAAAATATTAGCAGCCAGAAGGTAGAAGTAAGACTAGCTTTTGTTTCACTAGCAGTTATTTGGTTGTTTTTAAAAAAGTCTACGGAACCTCAGGCGGTAAGGAACCAACAGTTCATATCTTTTACATACAGCCATAAAACTTACTGTGTGTTAATATTTTAAATATTACTTGTAATATTTAATTTCAACAATTTCTTACAAATCATGATAGCAATTGAGGAATCGTGTTATTTAAGGACATTGTTTCTCAAGACTCCAAAATACATATAAAATTTATAGATTTTGTATCCGGACTGATTTTATAAGTTTACTTAATTTTTTTTTAAGTAGAAGATGGCAATCGAGCGAGTTCACCTGATGTTAAGTGACAACCGCCGGCCATGGAGATTTGCCACACCCATAGGTAGGGTTGTATATGCGTTGCCACTCACGCGGTATAATGCGAGGTCCTAGCCTCCGGACTGCCCATTAAAAGAGAGGCACTGCTCACGTCGGTATTCAAACGCTTCTTCGCAACGACGATAGACATACATAAACATACTTTTCTTTGGTAAATAAATACACATTATACATATATAAACATGATACATATATAAATATTAATGCTCATCACACAATATTTTTCCAGTAGTGGGGATCGAACCCACACCCTCTGGCGCAGAAGGCAGGTACACTACCGACTACGCCATTCGGGTCGTCATCGATGCAGTTGTTCATTTTGTTACCTTCAGCTCAGTCCAAATGTCCGCGAGGATCTGGTGGCGGCGCTTGTCGTCGTGGCTCAGCGGGTGGGGCTGCGGCGGGGGCGGCGAGTCGCGGAACGAGACCAGCGACCCGCACGAGCCAACCACGTGGACTGGGAATGGTAGCACGTTACCAGTAAAAACTACAACGTAACATCGTTACGCTTATAAGAAAGCTATTCGATATTAACACGCAGGTCCCGTTGACCGTATACAGAGCGATGTAAATGATTAGTTCTGATCAGATAAGACTAAAACCGTAACAACTTGTGCAACCTGCGCTCAACTCCCACTGACAACGAAATTGTTACTTACAATTTTAAACGTTGACTTATCACGCACACAACTATCAATGCTATCTGAAGTAGGCCAAACTGCGGTTTAGTCAGTTGGACTGTGCCCAAATGCCCTCTCTGCTGCCTTTACCCAGCCGCGGGACAAATACAGGCGGTTGTTTAAATGGCAAAGGGCGTTAAGGGCTTTTATTAGTGGTTGAGGTACCTTGCAAGTACCTGGGCGTGTAAAGGGCCCTAGAAGGATTTTATTAGAGGTTCTGTAGTACCTTGCAAGTCCCTGGGCGTGTGCGGCGTGTGTGGCGTGTGCGGCGTGTGCGGCGTGTGCGGCGTGGCGGGCGACGGCCGCGGTTGAGGGCGAAGCTGGCGCACCAGCAGCGCGCTCAGCGCCCGGTTCTGGGCCTCCAGGTCGCGCACCCTGGCCTTGGCGCAGCACAACTCCTCGCGAACGCTCTGAAAAGGTCGCGGCGTCAAGTTCACTGTTCACTCATCGATGGCGGTTTTAGATTTCGCTAGTTATACAGTTATAGTTAATACAGTTGTGTTATCTTTAAACACGAGTGGATGAGCTTTTAGTGAGGTAGTGCGTTTTACGCCGAAGTAAACTTCACTGCTTGCCTTTAAGAGAGATATCAGTCAAGCACTAGTCAGTTCGTATCATATGAAAACTTTGACTTTGAACAAAACAGTTTATGGATCTTTAAAAATGTACAGAAAGTACGTTGACAAAATTTAAATAAATCATTTGCGAATCGAATGACGATTTGTATGAACAAAATAGCTACTAGTAATTAGTTACTTTATTAAATTCAGTTTTCAAGATTTAATAAAAAAAACTTACTAATTAAAAAATACTAAACTCCCAAACGAAATTTACTTTTAAAAGTCTTGATTGATTACTCCGCTTGTAACGTCTTCATTTAACTCCCCCCATCAGTTGTCTCCGAAGTGAATGCGTATATTTTAATTACGCTTCATTAGACGTATTAAATTCGAGTAACGTAATCGACGTCCCGTAATTACGGAGGGAGCCAACGACGTTGACGAGAGACACAAAAATAAAATACACGCGCAGGTAGCGTAAAATTTTACAGATTCTCAAAGCTGATTTTTATTGAATAGATTAAAAAAAATTAAGTTTAAAACCGAAAAAAAAAAACAACCTAATGTTACGTAGAACACAATACGCATAGGTGACTGATTACCTTTGCCTCGCAAGGTAAGGTAAAAAAACCCATCTATGGTCAGTTAAATGTACCTAATAAAAACAAGGAAACTGTCCATTGAGTGCTTAAAATGTTTTTTATTTAGAGTAAAAAGAAAAAAAAAAACAATTGCGTTCATAAAAAGTTTATTTCTTTCTACAAAAAATAACAAGTTCTGAGTCGCAATTATTGCTACATGTTTCACAGTGGTGACAGCCCTAGCAACAACAAAGCAAAGATTTTAATGAAGACGTACGTAAGACGCTCGACGCATCAAAAGATTTCTAACTTCGCTGAATCTGAGTGCTAATTAGCGTTGATGATTTTAATAAGGCGTAATTGTAAAATTCGGGTCGCGCCTTAAAGTTTGCCTCGGCCCGTTTAATTAGAGAATAATTAAAGAGCTTTTAAAAGCTCATTTAGGGCTGGCGGTAAATGTTTGGAATGTTTACGTTGAGATAGAATTCGTTATGACCAAACGATTCCACTGAAACGGTATTGTTTTGCGTAGTTATTAGCAGATGCAGGAGCTTTTTATGTCATCGCGATGACTACAAAATCTCTTAATCGCAAATCTTTCTCGTTATTTCTTGACTTATTTTTTTATTTTTTTTATTTTATGCGAAAAGTTGTCAAACGAGCAGACGGTTCACCTGATGTTAAGTGAATACCACCGCCCATGGACATCTGCTACACCCGCGGGTTACAGATGCGTTGACAACCTTTTGAAAATTGGGCAAACTTTGAATGTATGTTTTACAGCTTTGCCGTGGTTTATGCTCAACACGTCGACAAATTATTTCATTTTTCCGCATGTACGTACGGCTTTTATGTAATCGAAAAAACGCGTTTATATTTCAGAAAAACAACGATCATTGTACCTAATACATTTAGCTATGTTATTATCGCACTGTAACAACATGATTAGGTGACGAGATTATTACGTTGACATCTGCCATCCATTAATGCGGTGTACATAATAATCGTATGTTACTCAAGAGAGTTGTCAACTATAAGGTAATCAATGTCTTCACAAATCCAATTTGATCGGCGTATATGCGCTTAAAAGCGCCCATCCTTAGGTGACGTTCGATATATGAGACACGTTGCCGCTATGTGGTATTATCGAACTGTAATTAATGACAGAGGGCTTCAGAAGATGATAGAGTGAGGTACGATTAATATTGCCTTATGAATAATTTTGGTGGGACGTAATATATGATATGGGTGTCAAAGCAAACTCAAAATACTCAGCGCAAACAAAGTACAAAAGCCACATTATACATTTAACACTCAAACACTCTGTAAATCCGTCGGAGCGTAACATCAACTCGTAGTACATTTTAATAACTTGCATATAATAAAAAAGAAGGGTAAAGATAATATGTAAATTATTTTACAAAAAAGTTCTAAATCATCTGTAATAATTATTCATAAGTCTTATAAAGATAAAGTGGTTCTTTCTTCTCGAGGAAATTAACTCATTATTTTTTATTAAATTTCTTATGTTTTTATGGATTAAATAACTTGAACCGCAAAGTTTCCCACGAAATTAATTTTCCGCGTAAACAACTAATGTTTGTCCCTAAAATTGGTTTTCCGGACGCCGGAGAGTGAGACATCGAATTATACCGCGCGGTTTAACAGAAAATAGACGGTTAAACTTTTTCTGGACGCCTAAAGAAACAGTAATAACAAGCGAACTGACGGCCGCCAATCTGTCAGGGGCACGCGTCGCCATCTTTATCGCAGCGGTTGGCGCGAAAACAATAACAACATGGCGGACGCACCCGAGGCGGATTTAAACGCAAACGGAAGCGTTATCGGGCAGATTACGCGAAGATTATAGTGGGCCAGGGACGCTGTGAAATTATTACGGTGGCGGCTAAGGCCGGCGCGTCCCATTTCGCACGATTTATGTGCGAAAGGAGCGCCGCTTAATCCGCCGGCACGGGCGCGCACCATAATTATGAGAAAACAATTTCCGGGTTGCATCTTAATGCTCCCGCCGGATTAGGAGATTCGGATTGTTGGGCGGTTTTTCGGGACGACTGTACTAATTCCGACGGCGTATTTGAGTGGCCGACCGTGCGTGAAATACGATGAAAGGAACCGCTGTCCCGCCCTCTGAATTAGCTAGTCTGTTTTTTATAACCCAGGGATTAGTGAAGCATTTTACTGCCATTGTGATGGAGACAAAATATGTCTCTTTTTAAACTTCTCGGCTGTAAAAGTCCAGATAGAAAAGAATGAAGTTTTTTAGTACATAATATACTGATCGAAAAAATTTCATATTTGTTATGTTTTTTCCTTCCAAGTTTTAAATACTTTAATTAACTTTTTTAATACACACAGTGCAAGGCTACCACTAAAAATAAAATTAATCATAAATTGCGATAGCAAATGCCATATTTATTTAAAGAACGCCAACATAATGTACACTATTTAAGACTAAGGAAATTAAATATACATCAACTGTTCATTAGTGTCATTACAATTAAAGGCCCTGAGAGCAGGCAATAATAATATTCATTGTTAAAGGTTATTTGTAAGGTGTTTCATGGTGTACACTATGAATATTACTTTGTCCAGGCATAGCTAAAATGCAACAAAGAAAGTAGATAGATGTCGAGATGATGTCGCTGCGAGGTCATCGGTCGCTTAGCTTTGTTACTAAAGCGTCTAGGCGCGTCATCGAAAGATGCAGGTTTGAATCACACAGCGACATTTTTTTGAGCATCGCGACTGGCCCTAAAAGTTAATCTTAATCATAAATGCAGAGTTTACTCCATAAAACTACGGCAATCCAGGTTGTCATATTTAGTGCCTTGCCCAATCCACAAGTTGCTGTGCCAACCTCTGTGGATGTAGAAATAGAGACGTGGAAACTAGTTCGCAATGGTTCACAGAACCATATTACGCTCATCATGCACAATACACATGCAGAGGTCAGTACACAAAACCTCGCGGAATCATGTTACACTCACCTTGTAGAATAGATGCAGGAGCCAAAACAAACAATATTTTTTTCTTAATAACTTCTTAATCTCAGAACCTGTTGCATTCAACGAGCAGAACAGAGAAGCAGGAGTTAGCATACAAGACCAAGGCTAGATCTCAACACTTTGGAACCATTGTTCTCAAGAACTCGGAACCTGTTGCACTAAAAATACGTCGACGTGCAGAAAAGAGACGCAGGAGTTGGCAAACAGAACCGACGCCAGTTCTCAAGACCTCGGATCCTGTTGCACTAAAAATAAGCCGTGCAGAAACGCGGGAGTTAGCACACTAGACCAACGCTACATCTCAAGACCTTGGGACTCGTTGCAGTAATATACGGTGCATAAAGAATAGCAGAATAGAGGACGCAGGATCGCGACAAAACTGCACCCGTACTCAAACCACATGGGTTCCAGAATAGGGACGCGGGCGCAGGAGTTAGCACACAAAACCAACACCAGTTCTCAAACGTGCAAAATAGAGACGCAGGATATCAACAAAACTGCACTCGTACTCAAACCACATGGGTTCCAGAATAGGGACGCGGGCGCAGGAGTTAGCACACAAAACCAACACCAGTTCACAAAACGTGCAAACCAGAGACGCATGATCGCAACAAAACTGCACCCGTACTCAAACCACATGGGTTACAGAATAGGGATGCGGGGGTAGACATGCAGGGGTCCGCTCTAGCAGCGCACTCACCTTCTGCGAGAGCAGCGCGCGGACCACTTGCTGCGCCACATCGTCCAAGCGGCGGCCGTGCTCGCCGCCCAGCCCTGCGGTCAGCGCGGAGAGCTGGCCCCTGAGCCGCTCGTTCTCCGCGCTGAGGGCAGACAGCTGGCACTGGTGGTGGGCGGCCGAGGCCTGCGGGAGACGGAGACGGGTTGAAGGCGCAAGCTTCTAAGCTACTATATACGGTATACTATGTACCGGCTGACTACTGTTTGCCGCTATTTGGCTTTTGCTGCAGCGTGATCTAGCAATTCCGATGATATCACTACATAGTATAAAACAAAGTCGTTCCGCTGTCCGTCCCTATGTATGCTTAGATCTTTAAAACTTCGCAACGGAAGATGCGGTTATTTTACTAGATAGAGTGATTCAAGAGGAAGGTTTATATGTACAATTTATTAATTATTTATATTTACAATTGCACCCGTGCGAAGCCGGGGCGGGACGCTAGTTCTAGGTTTCCTGTTGATAGGTCTTTTTTATGTTAGTAGATGGCAAGCGAACCGGCGGTTCAACTTATGTTAAGTGACAACCGCCGACATTTGCAACACCCGTAGGGTTGTTGATGCCTTGCCACCTATTAATTAAGTGGGCCCGTTTACCTCACTCACCAGACGACACACACAACTCTTCCACTTCAAGCCGATCTTCTATGAGGTCGTTATTCGTACAACATCGAATAATTTTGCGTGGCCCTACCACAATACTAATGTAGAGTTGATATTGTCCGTCTAGTTATTTCGAATGGATTTTTTGGTCTAATAGTTGGAAGGTAGCTAGTATCAATTTGGACGGATGTATAAATACTGTACGATATTTACAGTTACTTTGTTAGGATTTGTCTTTGGTAAAATAACTCCCTTGAGAACATTTATTATGTGAATAATACAACTTGCCAGTTTGGTAACTGTGCACTCCGAACAATTGAAACCACTCAGAAGTGACGATATAAGCTCTGCTAAGATACTAATAAAGCGTTACAGGTATAATCAGCTTCATACTACGGACTACAGTACTACTTTTTACTAAGCACTTTCACGGAGTTGTAATTCAAGCTTGGCTTGGACGACGTGAACGTTAGAACCTCCCGCTTCAGCAGTTTTGAAACGTTTCATTGTTGCCGACAACAATGACCCCTGAAAAGGGGAAATTAACCTCACTGAAAAAAGGGTCCTTGAAGTGAAAATGTCATTGAAAGCGATCCTTTCGCCTGATCATCTATCAACATGTCTCGTTTCCACCGCCAACAACGCTGCTTTTGTACCTTTAAAAATAACCTAAAAAAGGCCTATCATTCGCACTCTTAATTAAGCGACCACCCTCAGTTAGTGCTGAAAATGAAAGACCAACGTACGCTGGCCCATGTTCTTCCTGATAGCACCTGAATAGAAGTCGTGGAACGAATTACAATATCTACGGCTAGGGTTCCTATAATATTGGTCAGGTGTTGATAATAGCAAATCCACAACTGCCGTCGAGTTGTTCAAATTTGAACAGTACGTCTATAACCTTAAAGTTCAACGAAACGCGTTGAATAATATCGCATCAGTCGGTTTTCATTAGTCATCAAACGGGGGCGAGACACAAAGACCATGAATCTGTTTGTACGTCTGTCTGTCTGAAACAACACGCGGTTGATACGACGCTGATGGGGTGATGTTTCAATGGGCGAGGTTAGGTGCATTTAATTTCGACATCGCTTTCGCCGCCGTGCAGGTTTTAGGGATTGCATGCACGAAAAAGGGGTGAGAGTGTCAGACTGGGCTACAGAGCCAACCCTTGCCGCTTAATTTCGCGTGATGTAGATATTGACACACCTTGGGTCAGCACGAAACAACGCGAATGTCACTCCGTACGATTTTGACGACTTTTTAAACACGCCCATTACTCAAAGCGTGCGTGAATCACCACTACTCATTAAAATGCGATTTTCTGATGTTAATTTAATAACGTATAAGATTGTGACGTGGGCGTATTCAACTCAAGCGTTAACATTAAACACACTAAGATAGTGTGTTTAATATCTATGGCTGCTTGATCAAACAGTAGCTGACAAAAAAATCAACATATCATCATCGCAAATGACCAATAGCCAAATCGATTATTATTTGTAGCGGTACCCTACAGCAGTTTTGCATTAATTAGCAGGCACGTCCGGGTAAGAACCACGACTGCAAAGAAGACGGCTATATCTATATATCCATTTGCGTTCTAGTGAAAACTGGGGCATACCCTGATAAAAGTCGGAAACACAAATGCGATAATGACGTCATCATGTGAACCACCTGCCCTTTCATCACCTTATCTCATGTAGGATTAATAATCTATCACTACCCAGGCTATGATGAAAATGACTGTGTGCATTACAGGCAGCTTTGGACATAAGACATAAACTATAAAAAGAAGTTCAAATCAAACATTTATATTTAGTAGCTGTAGAGTGGAGAATTGTCATTATAGAATGGTCACGGTGGCCACAACGGTGTCCAATTGTTCATATTTGCAATGAAGTACCCGTGCAGTGCATTTGCTGATACGTTTATTCCTACATGTTTGAATATTAATAAACGTTATAATGGCATATTAAAGAAGCATACCCCTCTTTTATTACAGTTACTGCTTTATTTAATTTTCCCCGAAACAGAATTTGTATTTCGGTTTAATTTAACTAATCTCTTCTTTTCGCAGTTGAGATTAAAATTCGAACCAAACTGAAATTTTCCGCACTGTAATTCATAAAAATACAAAATACAAATACCCTAGCTACATACAAAAATAATTTTATAGGAAGTTCTTCTTCTTCTTCTAAGGCAGTTGGAGGTCCTTATGATATCGCCAATGACAAAACAACTTAGTAGTTAATACACTTTACATTACAAAAATACACTCAAAGTAAACATTCAAAATTCAGTTCTTATAGAAAGTTATGTATAGGAAACATCCAACTGTCAAAATTGACACTTAATTTGCACAGATAACATTTCGGTTTTATAGTATAACAATTATTTCAATTTATAATACTTGAACTAAATAATCAACAATATAATGGAAAATGTTGTAAGGTAAGTAAAATATATATAATTAAATTTAATAACCCCTTCAAGAATTATATAAAATGTATTTCGTATTTCTTTGAAGTTGTATCTTATCCTTTAAACGAGCAATTCTTGTATATATATATATATTGTAGCGACGGCTAACTCTATTGGGTTCTATCTGCACTAGGCTATGTGAAGTGAAATACCACTGGTTATAGTAATAATAGTTTATTCTCGGAAGTAGTTGCACAATTAGAGTTCACTTGAGATACTTATAAGAATATAAACTAGTTCTATGTTAGGTATACAATTACAGTCTATTAGCATACTAACTATATCGCGTCGGTTGTCGAACTGCGCGGGAGCGGCGGGAACGTATTTTCAATCGGTCGCTCCCGCGTGGCGCGTCATGACTTTGAGCCGCGATTGGCTCTTGCGTTGCCGCCCGGGATTCGTCCAATCCGCGAGTACTATTAAGCCCGAGCGACTTTTGAAAAGGGCGCGTTACACACTCCCCCTCCAAGTTCCCATAACGACCCGTTGGGGACTTGGTTACACTAACATTCCGCGCGGTGTTACGAGGGCGACCACGAAGTCGCCGTGGTTGAACGGGCACCGAAAAGATACCTTGGCCTGGTGTGTATGGTGTTAACTCAGAACTATGCATTTTTCCCAGGTCGGTATTTGTCTCTAAATCAGCTATAACATAAGTAGTTGGGCTAATAATTTTACTAATACGATATGGGCCATCCCGTTTCGGGCATTTTTTCTTTGTTAACCCTTTTGAAAAATGACTCAGCAAATGTGTGTCTACCAGAACCAAGTCATTAACACCAAACAAAGGTGACTGCCGTCGGTGTTGGTCAGTGTCGCTCTTCTTCTTCCGATCCTGCTGGCATTCAGCTTTCTCCTTGATGACCTCCCAATTCTCAAGGAACCTTTTTAAGTAAGGAGTTATCTGTGGCAGAAAGTTTTCTTTCGATAATATAGCTCTCAGATCTCGTTGTGCATCAAACGGCGTCCTCAACTCCCGAGCAAACATCATATGAGCTGGACTACATCCCGTGGTAGCACAAACAGCACTGTTCATCGAGAACCTGATCGCAGGCAGATAGTTAGGCCACGAACGATGATTGTTCTTCACTAAGATGGAGAGCTGAGTCTTGAGATCTCTATTCTTTCGTTCTGCTGGGTTGGCTTCAGGATGATAGAGTGGTGTTAAATTCTGTTTGATCCCCAATAAGAACATGGTCTGCTGCATAACAGCCGAGACAAACTGGACTCCGTTGTCCGAGATGACCCTCCTTGGGAATCCATACCGTAGGAAATATTGCTCGATAAGGGCTGGTGCGCAGACTTCTGCAGTGGCGTCCTTGAGGGCTATCAGCTCCACCCAACGCGTAGCTGTGTCCTCGATGAGCAGCACCCACTTTTCTCCATCGTTTCCTTCAGGTAGAGGTCCAAATAGATCTATTGCTAGAACCTCGCCTCTCTGATTCAGAACTGGGGTTTGCAGTAGTCCAGCAGGCTTCTGGTTACTTATTTTATAGCGTTGGCATTCTTCGCATCGCTTGAGATACTCCGTGACGTATTTACGCATTCCAGTGAAGTAGTACTTCTGATTAATGCGTGCGATAGTCCTCTCTACACCCTGATGTCCGGCAGTTGGGGCATCGTGATACTCCTTCAGTACGGCTTTTTTCATTGACGTGGGTATTACTAGTTGTGCTTCTTCTGACTCAGAGTTGGGATTGTAAAAGTAAAGAACCCCTTGAGCCATAACATATCCTCTCTCTAACCATCTGGTCGAGTTTATGGGATCCAAGTCTTCTAGATCATGAACTATCTTGGCGACTTCTGGATCTTGCAGCTGAGCAGTACGAAGTTCCGTCGGGTTTATTTGAGGAATATCGACTATAAGGGAACAGACTCCACATTCTTCTTGGGAGTTCTCATCGCAGACAGGCCGACTCAAAGTGTCTGCTATGACATTGGCCTTTCCTGGTGTGTATTCATATTTGATGTCGAAACCTTGCAGCTTTAATGCCCACCTAATAAGGCGACCGTTTGGTGACTTGTGAGTCAAAAGCCACT